TTTTTCAATCAGTTTGAATATCCTTTGGAAAGACCATCTGACTAAATACCTGCAAAAGTGCATTTACTGCAGATTTCGTCACTGTATCCGGCACCGAGACGGCCTCAGAGTACTTAGAGGCTAAACACATAACTATAATAAATTATATTTATTCCCTTCAGTAGATGTAGGCATACGTCTGCAAACATCAATATTAGCTTTATTAAAGACTTCAGATATCACTGGTGTGGTTACCAATGGGGCTTTCTTTTTGACATTTGCTTTTCGTGCACGTTGGCAACAGTCACAGATTTTAACAAATTGCTCAATTACATTATAATAACTTGGTCAGAAGAACTGTCTTAGTAACCGATCTTTGGTTTTAAGAACTACTAAATAATCAAAAGTTTCTTCATGAAAAATTATAATTTTATGTCTGAGGATTTCTGGAACAATTTTATTTTCGTCTGCATCAAACTTATTAATTTTCATTACTAAAAATCTAATTTTTAATCCCATAATTTATCTTACTTCCATTTTTTTACTAATTCTAATCATAGAATTTACTTTTTTTCGTTTATTTTTTAATCTTTACAGTTTACATTTTTTTTTTTTTTTTGTTGTTGTTCAGAAATAAATGTAGTACTCGAATTTATTTGAATCACAGGACTTATGGGCTACAAGGGTCGAAAGGAGGCAATATCTCTCTGTTTTCAGACGTCTCCTTTCCGTCCTCCTCATCTTCGTTACCTAAGTCTGTTCAGAATTTTGGTACACCTGACTGTTAACCAGAGAACAGGGGCTCCATTACCTAGCTGACATGATGTCTGCCTTACACGGATTAAAGCCCCTGCCTCCAGAAGCTATTTATTATGACTAAGCAGAATAAGTTTACAGTGGCATACAAGGCCTTCAAGAACACAAGAACATAAGTAACATAGTCATAAAAGACCCTAAAGAAAGCATGTTACAAGTAGTACCTATAGCATTCAAACAATAAACCGAGTATACTTTCATAATTTGTACTGAAAATACGAAATACTTTCAAAACTGAGTCCAACTAATTTAAATAAAAACTATAGGTACAAACAAACAAAATATAATACATCCATTACTGCATTATACACAATTAATATCAATTAGATTCACAAATTCAAGAAGAACCATTCAATTTAGGAAAAAAAAAAAAAATGCATAAGATAAACTAAGACAATAATAAACTGCCAAATAAAATTTTTTCATATGAATTCAGAATTAAGAACCAATAACTTTGATACCTGAACAATATTATCATAAAATACACTGAACCTGAGATATTATTACAATGCAAAACATAAATTTGGTTTAAAAACAAAACCACTCCAAGTAATATAAAAACTCTACATCAGGTTTGCTGGCAACGCGATAGAAATACAGTACAAGAATAATGCCAACATAAATATATGAAAAATTCCGATTCCAAAAACCACATACATTCAAAAATAAGTCAAAGAAAATTATTATAAAATACTGCCTTAAATGCACATTTTACAATAGAGAACTCAAGTAAAACCAATCAAAATTCACAAAAACACAGGTCAACTATTCAATTCAGAAAAGTGCAAAAAGGTATACAAAATAATTATTCTAGATTAGGTTTGCTGGCATCGCTAAGACAAATGCAATACTAGAAAAATGCCGAATTAAATTTTACAGAATTTCAAAATCAAAAACAAAATGCATTCAAGATTAAAGTAAAGAAAATTAATATAAAATAACTATCATGAATGCAAATTTTTATAATAGAATGCACAATTAATGCCTATCAAATTCACCAAAGTGAATCAATTCAATTACAAAAGAACGCATTAAAATATGCAAAATAATAAAATTGTCACAAAAATTTTCAGTTAAATTTAAGAATTACAAAACTAATAAGCTACAATTAACTGTTACAATTTATAAGAGCATAGATGCATTCAATGTCAGATACGTCTGTTCTACGTAAAACCACTTCTAATTTTAAATCAGTAACATAAGTAGTGGAAACAACAAAACTGAACAATAATAAGCATCAAACACACAAAGTTAAACAATTACCATTATACAGTAAAAATCTAACAGTCGCTGAAAGTCAATTACTCACTCCCTCCAATAGAGATGATCTGAGAGAATTATTTACAGAAAAATTTAATTCCTGACAGAAAAGCATAATTTCCTTAAATTTCTTACTCTCACTAGAGTTTTTTAATATCATTTTCAGCCCATTTTGGCCTGTGTTGATCTAAAGGTTTATTCAAGTGAAGGTTTTTTAGTAAATGGACAGTGAAAGATAAAGTGTTCAGGGTCTCCCAACTCCCCGCAAGAACAAAGCTCAGTCGTACGTAGTCCAAATCGAAAGAGATATGTATTAAAAGGTCCATGACCAGTGAAAAATTGAGTATAAAAATTCGATGTGCTTCTTTGACTGAGTGAAACTTTTGGAAAGAAAGAGAGAAGACTCGTCTTCCTGTGGAGTCATTAGTCCATCTTTCCTGCCATTTCACAAGCAGTGTATTTAAAGTCTCGCTCTTCAAGTGTGAAAAAGGCAATTTCGTTGGATTTTCAATTCCGTTGATATCATTAGCAGCCCATTTAGCTAAAGTATCTGCTTCTTCGTTGCCCAGTATGCCAACATGAGCTGGCACCCAGGTAAGAAGTGGTCTTTCAGATGAATTAAATCTTAGCAATTTCTCTTGAATAACTTGTACAATCGGATTTCTATTCGTAATGTCTGAAGATAGCCTGCAGACTAGATAATGAATCACTGAAGATCTTAGTCTTGCCCGATAGATTTCTTTAACATAAGTGAGAGCAGCGTTTATCGCTAAAAGTTCTGCCTGAAAAAACAGTATTTCTGTTATCAAGCCTTCGAGTCCATGTATATACCTTTTGAGTATTGTTAAATACACAAAATGCACAACCTGTTCCACGTTCAGTTTTAGAACCATCTGTAAATAGAGCAATGTCATTGGCTACTGGAGCCGTATAGTATAAATTGACTGCAGATTTGAGTTTTAAAGAGGCAGGATGGCCAAGATTAGATGGAACCCGTAGTTCATAATCATTTACTAGGTGATGTTGGTTCCATAAATCCCCATTCAATCGTAATCGTAGGATCCGTCCTAAGAAAGAGTCTCTTTGAGCCTGCAGATCTAATGGAGGTATACCCGCCAAAATCTGCAGTGAGGCTGTCGAGGTTGTTCTATAACCTTTGGAAATAAGTAATAGCTGATGCCTCTGTATTGAATTCAGTAAGCCACTCATAGTTTTGTTCATATCAAAACCCCAAATGGAGACTCCGTACAAAAGAACTCTTTCAGTGATTGTTTTATACCACAGCCGCATTTCGGTTTCCTTAGATTCTAGTGTTTGGGACAGAGTAAACATTTTTTATATAACAAGAGTCATTTTTCTTCATTAAGGCCGCGGCTTGTTTGCAAAGATATATCGTCTTTGGTCTAAAAATGGTCCCCTTTAAAAGCTGCTTCGGTTATTACCGTACTCAAATCGTATTCAGTAACCACTTCAGCAGCAAGTAAACAAGTTATATGATCATCCGGTAAATGTCGAACCCATAAGTGTTTTCCATTCATTCTATCTCTATCTGCATATTTCTGGCAAATAACATTTTCTGTAGCCCTTGTATTTCTTAGTATAGGCATTTTAAAGCCATTTACTCTCCCATTAAATATAGTAACAGAGACTCTTCTGATTTTCCACCTACTAGGTACTAGTCTGCTTTTTGAGTTCTTAAGTTGAGGGACTGAGGACTTAGACGATAAAAAAAACCCATAGTCGTTTTCTCTTATCAAAGTTCGACTGTCTTTTTTCCCGAAATTGTGCCCTGAAAAGTTTTATTACCTTTGAAACCTAAATATTAAATTTCGCAAAATTTGGTGAGAAACTTACTGAGAAATTTAAAAATTTATCTTGGCGCACATTTTTCAGTCTGCGACAAAAATAATTCACTCGGCGAAATTCTTAATTTAGGGTAACCTATTTTCCTTTCCCTTTCGCTGTGCATGAGCGGAAAGAATGTAAATTTCTCGGGAAATTTTGAAAAATTTAAATTTTTTGCTGATACGTCAAGAAATTCATCTACTTAAAGTGATGGTAAAAATTTTATAGGTTTTAATTCAAAATTTTTTCGAAAAATTTATAAAAATTACTTAAAAATACAAATTTTAAAAATAAGTTTAAAAAAAAAAGATATTAATAAACATAAGAAAAAAAAAGAGATATTAATAAATATATACCAAATTCAATTAACAGCAAGGAGCTACAAATTTGACAGTTTATTTTATAAAAACTACTCGTACGATTTTTGCAAAATTTGGCATTTTGGTAAAATTTGAGTCGTAGAATTGAAATATAGAAAAAAAAAAAAAAAAAGGTATGGCATTTCAGAAAAAGTCAGATTTTGTGTCAGAATACAACGCTATATATAAATCTAATAGGTATTCTAATATTCTAAGTCTCGCTTTCGAGACATGAAAAATGGAAGTTAAATTTCATCAATTGGCCCAGTAGAATGGGAGATAGAGAATTGTTTTTTTGTGCAAGGTGTACCAATATGCGATACATACAAAGGAGGGGCACCACAATAATTTCGCGAAGGGAGCCAAATGGGCCTTGTTCTGGTGACATTGATGGTGCAATGTGACAACATATCCTATACACTTACATGTGGCAAACCCTATTCTCCATATTATCTTGAAAGAGCGGTAAAAATTTAGAAACTTGAAACCTTTTTCACAACTAAATATTAAACAATAATGTTCTGTTCACGTGCGGAAATACATCTAGTAATTTTCTCAGGCAATTGAAAAGATGAAGTCTTAAATAGACTGTAATATATGACAGTCGAAATATCTCAAGTCATTTACCGAGAAGAAAAATCCAAAAATTTATGGTCATATTTGAATGCTCTAATAGTTCTCATGAAATTTATGTGACATAAAAGCATATAATTTCAATGAGACTGTTCTCCCTTTTCTTAGGTTTGGTTCCAAAACAGACGAGCTAAAGAGAAACGTTTGAAGAAAGAAGCTAAAAAGCCATACTGGGAAAAGAAGTATTATGAAGTAAAGCCTCAGAAAGACAAAACAGCCAACACTCACACTATTGTAGAAGAAATGTTACACAGTGGATCCAGTAGCATAAACTCAGCTGACTGGTTGTTTTCAATTCCAGACTTCAAATTCACAGTTTTCCAACAAATATTGTGTTACACAAATAATAGAAAGTAGATTTGTGATACATTGCATGTAAAGCAATTCTTTATTGTTTCAAGTCATGGTAGTATAAGAAGGTGCATTAAATATATTAATTCGTCAGATTTTAGCATTTCCTAATAAGAAGTATGTACACTGAAGAGCCTAAACTTTTATGATGACTTGCTTCATAATGCATTGCACAACTTTTCTTCTGCAAAACAGCTGCAACTCACCTTGGCATGGATGTCACAAGTTCTTGGTAGATGACTGAAGACATGTTGTATAAAATGTCTAAGCAGTGGTCACGCTACTTAGACAAATGTCTTGTACAAAATGTCTAAGAGCATATTTTGTAAAGTCAAGATATTCCTTCATGGTAAACTCTGAGCTGCTGCTCCATGACATCCCAAATATATCAGGCTAAAATCCAGCAAGTTAGATGGTCAGGACATTAACTGAAATTCATGCCTATGCTTCTCAAACCATTCCAACATAATTCGAGCCTTATGACATAAGGCATTGTTCTGTTGGAAGATTCCATTTCCAGTTGGGAAGATAGACGACATGTACGAATGCAACTGATCTGCAGTTATATTCAGACAGTCCACAGCTTTCATGGTCTCACAGCCGCCCATGAGAATGTTCCCCAGAGCATAATACCACTAAGGGTCCCACAGCCGCCCATGAGAATGTTCCCCAAAGCATAATACCACCACCATCAGCCTGTGTATGTCCTGCTGTACAGGGAGAAGTAACTGTTTGCCTGAAAGACGGCATACTCTGACAAGACCATTGATGTGATGAATGAGAAATTGTAATTCATCTGACCAAACAACCGTCTTCCACTTACCAATGGCCCAGTATTGATGTTCCTGCACCCAATGTAGGCGTAGTTGACAATGATGCTTGGTCAACAGAGGCACATGAGCGGGATGTATGCTGCGCAGTCCCATACCCAACAGTGTCTGTTGAACTGTGTATTCTGAAACACTTGCATTTGGACCTGTAATGTATTGGGCTGTCAGTTCAGCCACTGTCTGGTGCCGTGCACCGAGTAGGACAGTCTTCGACATCCTTTTTCTTTGATGATGTGTGGATGTCCAACACCTTGGCATCTACTGCTGGTTTCACCATTATTTATCCAATCTGCATAAATAGTAACAAAGGGGAGGTCGTGAACAACCTACCAGTCATGCAGTTTAGATACTCGTTCAGAGTTATCAGGCCATTACAATCTTATCCACGGGCCAATTTACCTATGGGAGGTAGACTGTTTTGCATGGTCTAATCCCAATCTGCCCTCTATTAAATTCACGATCAGCAGCCTTTCCCATCACTCACAAAAATAATTCATTACCTCCTCCAGCAGCAGTTAAATACCCTTCCCACTTAATAAATGCCCTTCACGTCATACAGACATGTTCGCTGAAAAATGTGGGGATGGTCATAATGTTTTGGCTCATGAGTGTATACGTGTATTAAAAAACAGGAATATTGAAAATATTCCTGTATTTTAAATACATAAGTTTTATATATCTTGTTTGAAGACAAATTTTCTGTTTTCTTTATGGAATTAATTGATGCGTGATTGATTCAGTAATCAAGATAATTGAAACTCTTAGTTAAAATCTCTCTTTATTGAAAGATACAGAGTTCATATGCATAGGATGTAAAAAATGGGGATTTGTTTCTTTATATATTCTACTAGGCAAACTAACTATGATATACGTATGTTTCTCTCTCTTATGTTCATATATATAAAGAAGAGGAAATTATGTTTGTTTATTGAGAAACAACGTAAAAATTGTTATCACAAACCATCACCTTAAAACAACTGTTCATAGAAAACTTGGAAAGGAAAAGAAAAATATGTAGTATAAACAGCAGTTACAGCAGATGAACTTTGCTAAAAAACAGGTAAGCAAGTTTGTACACAATGACATTTTGAAGTTCTCCAGTACGTATTATTCTTTAATGTCATTTATAACTCTGTGTTTTTCATTTCTAATGATGTTTATTTTTCCATTAGTGATAATTTGTTCCTTTTGTTTCAAACACTAATTTAATTTACACAACAAAATGCTATCATTCCCAGATTCAACCACTGAATGTATAGCTAAATTGTTGGTACTTCAGGATTAAAGAGGCCACCGTGTTTTGATGAAATTTCAAATTAATTTGGCAAAAACTAGAAAACACAATGACAACCTTAAAAAATGAAAAACTGCAATCATATAATATAATACAGTAAAAGTGCAGAAATCTGCAAAGCTTGGGACCAGAGATTGTGTGGATTTCAAAACAGAAAAGATAAATCATAATATTCAGACTAAAAGTGCAAAATAAATAAGGTGTATTAGATACATTTAATTAAATTATTATATACATTATTACAATAATTTATTATATGCATTAAATTTTTATTACATATATAAATTGATTATATTATTCATTTACATTAGTGATTACAGGGATATTTAAAAGCATTAGGGATGTACTCAATAGACATATAAAGATAAGGGATTTTAATAAAGCATAAAATATTTCTTTTTTTACGTATTTTAAATAATTTTCTGATAGAAGTTTGTTTTAAAACTTTCGGGGTGCTCCAGAGTAAGTTTTGTTTGTAAATTATAGAGTCATAATCTCTTGGCCTGTGTCACAGCTCTGTTGTTCTAAAAATTTTAGGTATTTTTCACCATGTTTCAGACCCTCATTAAAAGATATTTTCTCACTTCTATCACATTCACTATCTGTGTCGGTATCAGAATTGTCTTCTTGCTGTGGCGAGTTCAAAACAAAGCCAATGATTTCATCATCAGTCATCTGATTTGCCAGTTGTTGGCTCCCATTTATCAATATCTTCTTACAAAGCCTCTTCATTTATTCTTTCTTTCGATTATAAAAGCAATTCTCTTGCTTTAACCCTTGCTGCACTGACCTTACAACCAGAAAAATCACTGTCTTCACTCTCAGTTTCAATAAACATATAAGATGGCCATACATTAACTAATGTTGTTTGGGAAACAGAATTCCATGATTCAGCTAACAAATAAATGCAGTCTTTGATGATGAATTTTTTTTTTTTTTTTTTAAATATATAATCACAAAGTGGAATAGAATGGAAAAAGAAAAATTTTTTTTCAGAAACTTTGATTTATAGTGGCATTTAATACTGTGTATTATGCCCTGGTTCATTGGTTGGATCAATGATGTAGTATTTGGGGGCATAAAAAGGGTCATGACATGTTAAAATTATTGTATCCGGATGTGCAGAGCAGTTATCTAACAATAGTAAAATCTTGCAATTTGATGGCAACCCCACACTGTTAAAATGTCTTCTACTCTCTTTAATGAAATGCTTCAGGAACCATTCAGTTATAAGTTGTTTTGTGAACCAGGAATTTTTATTATTCCTGTAAATCATAGGTAAGGATTTTACTTCTTTCAGAGCTCTGGGATCGGTGCTCTTACCCATTACCACTGGTTTACATTTGTAAGTTCCAGCTGCATTGCTGCATACTAAAATGGTAACTCTTTCTTTAGCTTCTTTCACCCCTGAAGGTACACTTTCTTTGCTTGTCACAAATGTCTTTCTTGGCAAACATCGCCAAAAAAGTCCAGTCTCATCCATATTAAAAATCTGGGGTAAGATTTTCTTCTTCCACTAACACGGAAAATTTATTAATAAACTCCTCTGCAGCATCTTTAGCTGCTTAAAGTTTTTCCCCACGTGCTTTCAGATAACGTAGACCGTGTCTCTGTTTAAATCTGTTCAGCTAACCGCTGCTGAAATTGCATGGCTCCTCATTTTTGAATCAGCATGAATCTGAATCTCTCAGGAGTGGTCCTGAAATTGGACCCATCACTCCGCCGCTGCCGGAACCACTCATACAAGATAGCATTGAGGTTTGCCAATTTTGCCTCATGCAAAGATTTCTGCTTTCGGAGATTCTGGTGTTAGAATCACTGTTGTTGTAAAATTTCAACAGCTTTTCTTTATTTTTCCACATATCATGCACAGTTCATGTTGCAATTCCATACGATTCTGCTATAAACCGAGGAGTAGCACTTGCCTCCATCTTTTGCAGAATTTCCACTTTTTGCATTACCGTCAATGAAACGTGTTACGTTTTTCAACACTGCAAGCAGTAAAATCACGAGGGCGTTTATCTGTCATTGTATTAAAAAGTGTTGAAATTAAAAATATTCTTAATTTAAGCACAAAATATCTGGATAAAAAAAAAGCGGCAGCACTAAACAATCTTGTGAAATAACAAAGCTCAGAAAATACAACAATGAGAATTGTGAACTTGAAAGAAGAATTGAGTGAATCGTCTGCTTTTTTACCTCGATGCAGATTGGAGGAGAAAAAACTTTTATCATGATGTCAATAATTTTGTACTTCTGTTATGACCCATTATTATTCGGTAAGTATTTTTTCTTCAATATTTCGTACTCCATGTTGCAGTTTCCGGTACTTGACTGTACCTATAATGTGCGTGATGATGAATATGTTAATTTTATAAATTTTTTAAGTGAAAACAGATTGTTGTGTGCACAGGGAAACAGAAAACATGAGAGAATTGCACAAACTTTGCACTGCACACATTAAATATTATATACATTAAATTATGACCTATTGTTGTTACTGTAAGTTTACTGTTATTGTTATTACAGGTATTACAAGTTTGACAGTTCTGGTGACTAATCTTCTGATTTTGGTGATTGAGGGAGGTGGCTGCTTTAATTTTGAAGTACCAAATTGACAATTGTATCTTTCTATTAACTACGAATACAGATTATCAATGCATTATTTTAACTGCTCTTGGATTAATTTTGATTTGGAATTAACTGTAGGCAATTACCCGTACATCAGTTGTTGATTAGACTTAATAATTATGAAATATCTCAAAATAAGATAAAAATTTTTAGGAAAACAATTTCAACATAGAGAATAGGGCAGAAGACTATGAATAAAATCGAATTTTTAGCACAGTCCCAAAACAGAAAGACATCTGTTGGAGAAGTCCAATAGAATTTGAACAGAAGTCACTGTTGTCTTGGAACTAATGTAATTGTGAGTATCTTCTTCACTTGCATTTTCAGTATCACTCTCTGCCTCTTCCGTTCTTATGACATTTGAAACAATATCCACATCACCAAAGCATTGAAAGCATAACTCAGTCAAACTGGCATCACACCATTTCTCAGTGTTTTTCAGATCAACATTTATATACAAATACAACAAATATGTATGACACAAAAAAAAATCCCAGTGATCAATTCAAATGACGCCTTTGACTATGTACATGTAGAATGAACTGCATGAGGAAATCATTCAAACCAAACCTAAAAGATGTAATTCAGCAGTTTTTAAAGCATGCTCGGATTTGCATGTTTTTTAACACTCTTGTGCGCATAGCACATGTGGATATCACCATGCACAGATAATCAAAAGCACAGTGTGTATATATAAATATAATTCAAATTCAAGAATAATGACTACTTAAAGTTTTAATTTAGGGTCAATGTGTATCCTAATGATATAATTTATTGATTCAATACGTATCACCAAATTTACGATTGTTTTCTTTGAAGTGTTTAAGAAACATGCATTAGACATAAAATACCTTGTCATATTAAGAAAAAAAAAAAAAAAAAAAGCTTTGTTTAGTACAAAATTTTAATCTCTTTATTAATAGTTAACTGAAAACCTTTATCTTTTACGGATTGCACTAATTCTGTGTGGTATGGTGTTGACTAATTTTTATCATATTTCAACAGGAAGCGAATACCATGCATCTTGCACAATTCTCCACAGTTCCTTTAAATTTGATGGGTGAGAGTTTGTTTATCTTTTAGTTTATGTGCCATATGTTCTTAACTGAGTTCAGTGACTATGGCCAATGGCAAAATGTCATTCATGTTTCATTCGAACCAGCTTTGTTGAATGCATAGGACTACTACCTTGTTCACAATACCATTTCAGTGGCATAGTTTCTAAGGTATACACCTCTTTGGTCATGATACTATCTATATAAAAATATATGGACCATACCATACCACAAAAAATGAGCTCATATGGCTCAGAATTTTACCAGCACGTATTTCAAAGAATAGACTAGCAAGATGCTGAGGCCAGAATATAACTTTAAGCAAAGCTGGGAAAAGTAAATAACAAGACATAGCTGCCAGAAACTTCAATTCTAAACCCTCAGCTTAAATACACAAAAACCTGATTCACATTCTGTTGATGAATACAAAAAGAAAAACTTATAGTAAAGGCTCAAATCACAATAATTATTTAATTAAAATAAAATACCTTTAAACTTCCTCATAAAAATCTGAAATCACAAACTTTGGAACAACAAAAATATATTTACCGCGTGATTCTTTCTGAAAAATATCTGAACAAAAATTATATTAAATTTATTGTTAATACTGAATTTTTTAATAAAAATACAGCAGGCCCCCCGGAAGCTACCAACATTTCTGAGAACAAATGTCAATAATTTTAAACAAAGACTAGCATAAAAAAGGAATCTGAAAAAATTCCTAACACTAGCATCGTTATTAAAAAATATTCATTTTAGAATTCTTTACTGCATTTTAGTTTTATAAAAATTTTATTTCTAAAAAGTAAACAAAATATTATTCTTAAAATAGTATTTGCAATATGATGATATATCACTAGTATACATTTTAAAAAGTTTACACTAATATTAAAGTTTTTTTAGTGGGGCAAGCTGGGCCTACAGAATCAAAAAACAAATAAAAAAAGAAAAACTAACAGATTAAAAATTTCATAAATATCATTTTTCTCAATTTTATTTCTAAATAAAAATAATTTTTTTGCAATGATTTACACGTAAAAAATCTTTAGTCCCCTTGTTTCAATCTTCTCTCTTCATTCCCCCCTTTATGTCCAAATTCTGCTCCCCATCCCTTATTTTCTTGAAACTTCTCTTTCTTCCCCTTCAAAAAAATGACCTTTTTTTTTTTGGTTAAACTTTCCATCTCTTTTTTGAAAACTTAATAAAAACTTAAACACAAAGCTTCTAAAAAAAAAAAAAAAAAAAAAAAACTCAAGGTACTTCTTTTTAATGAAAATATGGGATTAATCTCCTTGGAAAGTTTTCTGAAAAATCTTTCTTTTCAAAGTAAGATAATTCTTATATAGTTACTGCAACTTTAATAATTAATAAACCAAATCATTCGAAACTGATAAATATCAAATATGAAATGACAAAAGAAAAATCCAAAATTTAAATGGTCAACATTCATATTGTAGGTACATCACTTTATAAACACACTTTTTCTTTAAAAAAAAAATCATTTTGATTGTACATTGTGGAACAACAGAATGTTTATGTATGGTACAATTCCAAACAAAAGCCTAAAAACAAAATTTAGAAATCTACTTGTTAACTACATGCAGCAAGATTAATGTCAAAAATCTTTCTGCAAGCAAAAACTACAGAAATAAAATTAATTGGTATTCTTCATACTTAAAAGTCTTTAAATCTGTTTCTGATATTCCGAAAACTTTTGATAAAATTCAATATGAATCATACAAGCATTCTAAAATAAGAAATATATTTTGTTTTATTGTGCATAAAATATACAAAACATTTGCATAATATTTTTTATAGAAATAAAAATTAATAACATGAACACTACAGCACTATAAAATGTCTTCAAATAAATGAAGGGATCAATTCAATAATTTACATTATTTACAAACTTTTTAATGCGAAGTTATACATATACACCAAACAGCAAAATGCTGAATATTTCCTAAAATTATGATCAATCTTCTGTCAATGAGTCAAATACCTAAATAACAGAAAACAAGATATTTAGAGAAATTAAAGGAAATGCAGATTTATTAATTGAACATTTTATTTTAAGAAAAAAATAACAACAAAAATACATACACTCATCAGGTTCTTTGGTGGAATATTTGAAATCAAACTGAGATCATCATCTGAATCACTTTCTTTGAAAAGTTGTAAACGAGGACTTTTAAACTGTTTAGGGCTAACACCAGAAGAAGGAGAAATCCTTAAAAAAGAAAATAAATTAAAAATTCAAGAGTACCGAACATCACTATTTCCACATGAAATAAAAAAATAAATCAAATGACATTAAAACATACTTCATCAGGTTTTAATAATTTAATTTTTAATGCTAAGTACAAGGATTAGGGTTATCTGGATTAAAACAAACTACAACAACTTTTCGCTTAAGGGAAGAAAGCTATTGTAGAAGATTATCTAACAGAAAAACTTGTATTGAAATTAGAGTTGGGATAAACCACAATTTCTGAAACTGTGGGTTGTGACCCCCATGGGGGTAGCAGGACCTGCAGCAGGGGGTCACCAAAAATTTTAACAGTTTTGATATTTCTTTAACTTATTATAATAATTTTACAATTTACCAAATATTTGTACACAGTGTATCTGAAAATAGATAAAGATAAGACCACACAGACAAAGAAAAAAATGAAAACATTTCGACGCATTCTTTTTATAATATAAACGTTCATTTTACTTGATTTGCACGTGATGCTGTCATCATGACTTATTTAAAATTTTCACATTGTTCTATGTTTTAAAACTAAAAATTAAAGTTAATAAACTAAAACTGCAATAGTATATTACAGTACAAGTGAAAAAATTGACAGTTTCACTCACGCCTGTGTCGGATTTGTGCAATGCTTATGGGGTCGCAAAAAAATCTCACTGATAAAAAGAGGTTGCGACTGAAAAAAGTTTAAGAAGCCCTGGGATAAACCATGAAAATTCCCATACAACCACTTCAGTTGCTGAGATTCAAATTTAAGCCAAACAAAGCATTTATCAGTTTTTATCACTTAACCACGATAGAGTTTACGGCTAAATAGTCTGGCAACACTGCATTTCAGTTATGCATGAATATGTTGTTAATAATCATGTTAGGTAATTATAAGATAGAATCTAGCACTAAACCATAAAAAATTATTTAGAAAATTAAAAGAGAGGGATTTAGCAAATATTTTAGCAAGCCCTTACAAAATATATGTCTGCCAAATAAGATTAGGAATAGCCTTATTTTGAAAAACCTAAAACAAATGTAAATATATTATTTTAATGAAACAATTTAGTATTGATAAACAGTGCAATTTATTAATTAAATATATACTAAAATAGCTAAAAAATTGAAATGAATTATTTCAAACATTTACTGCTTTTTTTTTTTCTTTTATCTGAAACAAAAATTTGCATTCAGTTACATTTATATTTAAACATGTACAAAGTTTACATATTTTTCAGTTTTTCAATTTCTCTTTTAGCATCTCATAAAAATATTTGGTACTATTCCGTTTTGAGGACCGTAAAAAATCGCCAAACTATTATTGATGCCAGGGCTGCCAAAAATAATTGCAGCAACCCTAACGCAAGAAAGGAAGTATAATAGGAAATAACTATCTAAGATTATTGTTTTAATTTAGATGAAAGGTTAATTTCATATAATACTTTTTTATTATTATAATTTATATAAAAAAGGCTAAACATAACTAAATGGAAGCATAAAAGTAAATAACTATTTCAGATCATTATTATAATTTATATAAAAAAAGGCTAAACATAACTGAATGGATTCTTGCATCGCTATTTCGCTACTGAGTTATCGCTAAAGCATAATTTCATCTCGTTGTTTTTTCAAACATAATTTTCTATAATGAATGATGCCTTTTCTTTGAAAAAATTCTATTGCAGACTTTTCGTCATGGGCAATTCCCAAATAGTTAAATCCACAGTATATCAAAAAAGGATTTAAAAATTAAACTAATATTTCAATGGCGTCTTACAAAATATAGAACTATCTAAACTTATGCAATTTTACATCAGCACGTATGCTAGATTTGGTGTTCTGTTAAATAGGCGCGTTTGCTAGATTTGCGCATACATTTTTGCTGCAATTTTTTTACGGTCCTCAAAACAGAATAGTAACAAATATTTAATAAGCATTTTTAAGGGTAAGTTAATAGCGATACATTCAAATTTCCTATTAGGATGCATCCACAGGGCCAAGGCTTTTGTTCTTTATCAGTGAATGTCTACTAAATGGGAGTGAACTGGTCTTCTACTTTAAAGTTCAAGAGATTCAAAAATTGTCTGCTAAAACAGAGTGTCTGTTAATGGAGGCTGGACTGTAAACTTAACTTTTCTGTAATATTAAATTACTGATTTAATGGTACAAATAATTTTTATATCTGAATAGAATTGAGACTTAGAATCTGGACTATTTTAACTTAACTAAAGCATCACTTAAAGAAAACCTACATTCCTGGTTCAATGTTCTCATAAAAAAAAACACTTGTTTTTGTTAAATTAACTTTAATACAGATAGTGATATAATATATTACTACACACCATATTCTCTTTATGTATGTACCTATTAATATATATTCATGGTTTAGAAGTAATAAAAACCAAATATTTGAACATTATTTTAACAATGTGTATCAGTAATATTATTCATTTCTGGATTTTTTTACACCTGTTACATGTACTTGCACCTCACCATATACAGAGAGGTATGCAGGTGTGGTGAAAATTGCTGGAAACTGTGCAGTACAATTTATTCAGTTCTGTGGATTTCGTGGGAGACCGTGGATAAGTAATAATAAATATATTTAAAGTTTTTTTAATGTTATTTTTTAAAATAAAATTAAAATACAATAAATAATAATAATAATAATGAATTCTTATTTTTTAATATTCAGAATTGATTTTTATACAAAGAAACACATCCATCATTATTTTTTATTTTAGTACTTTCTTCCCACATAGCATTACATGGAACAATATCTACTTTGTAAAATGATAATTCAGTACATTCAACTTTTACTAAATTTAAGTAATTTCGACAGAAAGAAATTCTGATGTGTTTAGATAACTGATGTGAAATCCATAATTTTTATAACATTCAATCTACAAGACTGGCTTGAAAATTTTAATTCACTTTTAAAAAACGGAAAAGAAAAATAGTTTATAAAACCAATGATAAAATATTAAATGAATGAATTTAGTTTCATATTAAAAAGCTTCTACATAAATTATATCTAACCCTTTTTTTTTGCTACTAGACAAACAAGGAGATCCGGAAGCATCATGAAGCTTTTCTTTCCAATAACGAAATCCACATGGAGTAGACATTGCCAGACATGCTGCTCTGTAAAATATAATATTAAATGTGTGATTCACTACATACAATTGACTAATTCAGTTAAGCAGAGTACACTTTTTGACTATTTTCAAACATGCTTGAATAAGCTACACATAAAGAAAATTCACAGTATAGATACTGAACTCAAAATTCTTTGTCTGCATCAGCTTCAAAGTAAAATAATTTTATTTTGATTCCAGTTTTACAGTAATTAAATACATGGCAATAAAAATCTAATAAATTACATACGGTTTTCCTATTAAACTACATTAACTAAACTGAACTGGTAACTTTAAAGAATCTTTTGAGATATTTAATATATCACTTAAGAAAGTCTAAGTTCATTATATAAGCATGTTAACTAATCCAATTTGATAACTTTAATGAATCTCTTTGACCATCACCTATAAAAGTAACACTTAAAATTTAAATAAATTCTCACTTTTTAAGCAATCATATTTAAGATAGACTTAAAATGTTTGGTAGAATTGTGTTGTACTCCCAAATTTTGCGATATCCCAAAATTTTACATACAGTCACATTCTTTTGCAGATATTGATACCATTATTCACTATTTACACCTGTTCTGGCATCTTTTGTGAAAACTCATTCCATGCCATTTTTTTTTCAGCAATAATTAAAGTCATAATTGATAATCATTGAAGTACTCTTCTTGGCAATATATTCCATGACGTATTGATCACAGCTATACTAATCCTTCATCAAATTTACATTTTACTGAGAAATGCAAAGTTTGACAAATATGGAAGGTGTAGAAATAATGCTGAGAATATTTTAACTAGCCCATGATTATCACTTAGGCCCACAAGGATTTGATTTAGGGGTCAGTCTTTGGTAAGGGTGATTGTAACCCAATTAAAAATAAATAAATAAATAAATGTAGGGGGGGAACCCAACATAACTCAAAATAATTCATCATAGTAATGTAATACACGTACATACACAAACACATATTTTCAAACAGTTTGATTCGGAAAGTCAAAAAAATATAATTTATGTTTTACCACACCATTTCATAGAGAAGCTTAATTTTTATTTTATTTATTTGGTTTCTTAACACTTTTTTTTTTAAATAATTGATAAGCTTAGTTTTTTTTTTTTTGGGGGGGGGACAGAGTAAGGCTTAAGTGTTGAATTACTGTGTTTATATTTTCCTTTGCTAATACATGAAAAATATCATAAAGTTTAATGCAAGGAATGATTTCTCACTTAACTCTTTATATATTATATTAGAACACGAAGTATCTGAATTGTGTTTATTAATAGATACTGTGAAGAGGAACTGCTAGTAGGAAAAGAATGGTTTATGAGGAGGAGAATGAATTCTGGCAAGTTGTTCAACTATTCAGCAAATTATCTTTAAAATCTTCACCAATAGAATCTTGCGGGAGATTTTTTGATCCAAAAATTTCACATGTATTTTTGTTTAATGAGAATAAACAATATTTCCCAGACTGCACAGCATATAGGTTACCAACATTTCAAGGATGTTCTATATTCTGTCACAATATCACCCATATAATCAAATGCACATTTAATAGTGGATATATGGAAGCAAGTTAAAATAAATTTATCAGTTTTATCAATACTGGGTAGTTCTGTTTTCCATCTCATTATAGCTTTTAGAACAAAGGTTTACAATATCAGTTTCTTCTATTTCTGTATACGATAAGTGATTATATAATTGACTTCTTGGTCTAACAGAAACTTTTCATCTTTTGAAATGACATTTGGCAAATTATATGCTAATTCAAAAAAGCAATGCAGGGAGTTGTTTCACCACACACAGCAGGATTCATGTCATTAAATTTGATGGAGACAAGAGTACTTTAGGGGTAGCCTTACCTGCATATAATCAGCACAAACTATATATGCCTCTTTTAGAATACATTTAAACTCCTTTCATGATGGATTAATCTTGCCAGAATTCCTAATTTTTTTCAGTCTCTGCACCAATAAAATCTATGTTATTAGGAAGGTCATCCTGGAAATCGCAAATATTATTCTTCACAATATGAATGTTCACAAGTTCAAACATTTGGACATGTAACTAACTCATGGAGGAAAGTTTTCCAGCTTTAGAATAAGTTAACACATTTATTAAAATGAGACAAAATAGACTGACAATGAGGCAGCACTCAGACAATATTCTTTTTTGCTCAATAGAAAGTTTATAGCTTATTCAAAAATTTCTTTCTTAAAGCTGCTGTTATATCTTTAATTTTATTAATCTGATCTTCTAGTATATTATTTTTGATAAATATTTCTTTTGTACTATCCATACATTGAATGTTGATCAATTGCTATCATCCAAGAAAAGTAAAATAACAATAATGCACTCCATAAATACACAATTATGTCAACAGTACTATACAATATGAGGACTGAACAATTCTACCTATGATCTGAAATCAATAGTGGCTTCAATGGTTTTATGTTTAATAATTTATAGTTTATGTTTAATATATGTCTTTTTTGGAGATGAAAGAAACTTTACTCTGATAAATGATATTTGGCTTCAGATTTATGAAGGAAACAATGCATTTAATCTCCTTTGAAAACTTTGTGCACAATTATTACATCCTAAACATCTGCAACAAAAAGACCATTCCAAACACTTTTTCACTCCAAATATGGTCCTTGTCGATGATCTGATGAACAATGTGTTAATGCATTTTATGCATGTTCAGATTATAAATCAATATTTAAGACAAATTGCTGACTGCAGTTCTAGACTTCTGTATCAATTCAACAATCTGATGCTGATCTTTTGTGTACCTTTCTTCCCATTGTGTGATGCAAAAAAAGTGGCCACCAAAATTTGATCATTGTAATTAAGTATATCGCAGCATTCTTTAAATTATTTAATTAACCAGATATTTCTGATACAAAAATTATCTTAAAATTTTCATATTATTTCTAAGGATTCACTCACAGATGTATCTAAATGCTGATGGAATAGAAAACTTAGTCATTCATCAAATTGTGATATCTTTTAACTTAAACATTTTTGAAAAAATAAAGCTATATTAATTACATTGAACCCTTTTTTGGGGTGAGGGATTACTCTTGTATCTTACCATTCTCCATGAAAGTTGGAGCATTTTGGTGAGGTTATGCCAGGCATTGTGGTATGTGATTCTCTAGATATAGTGATTGATATAGGCATTGTGGTATGTGATTCTCTAGTCTCTAGATATAACTAATCCTAAAAATAAATATTTTCAAGTACAGTCAAAAGTCGTTAATTTGGACACCCATAATCCGAAATGATCTATAATCTGTACCTCAAAAGCTAAAACCTTTCTGCGCATGCGCCGCGTTGACACATGCGCATAGGCGTTACGCGTGCGCGTAAGACCTTTTACGACTGCGCATATGTGTGTGCACAAGTGCAGAAAACGTTTTCGCGTGCATGTTTTATGTATAACGGACAGTATAGGCTAAAATTATCTACTGTAATTTCGCACGTATAGTCTGCACCACCGGATAGCCCGCGGACAATATGTCGTTTTTTTTTAATACGGCAATATTCCCATGCTTTTTAAACACATTCTTTTGTTTGCACAAATTTCTCACCAATTTCTTGTCCACTTCAAAATAACGGAGTAAAATCTTAGTATACGGTGCAGCCTTGGCGCGACTTTGAAAATTATCGCCAACACCAAAATGATCCAAAGAACGTCTATATATATACTATACACGCATAGTATATATACTATATACATAGTATATACTATGTTTAACTATATATTTTCTTTGAATGACCCGTTAACTACTCATCGTATATGTCCCGTTTCCACTGCTCATCATAAAGTCGCCAAAAGTAGTCAAATCCCGTGTGCACCGGATACTAGGATTAAACCAATAACGGCCCGCTTCTCTATTTCCATCTTTTTCAGTTTTCTCAACCACCTCTCAGCAGTAAATCTCCGGCAATGTTTCATCAACGTTATCGAAGATGAAAGACAAAATACTGTGCAACGTGCTATCCTTGTGATAAGTGGTAATGAAATGTGACCTTCGACCCCACTCACTCGGTGTTGCCAAACCAAGCTATAAGTAAACGAATCACGCTTTTTTTCATACTCCAGGTACTTGCTACTATGGCTCCTAAAAACCGAGCTGACGAATCAACTACTTTTCCCCCTCCCGCAGTCGTGCTAAAGCAGTGCGAAGAATACTTGGAATCTCGCGCTTTTTTTTATATTTGATCATCGGCAGTTCACGACAGCGTGTTTTTTAAATTTCAACAATTTTAACCGTGAACAAACAGCGTATTATCCGCAGTGGTGGATAGTCCACAACTTCAAAAATTCCCATTTTAAACACAGATAATCCGCGGACTATACGCGCAAAATTACGGTAATTATCTATTTCAGTTAATGTTGATGATTGCGTTGTTCCTTAATCTTCGAATTGGATCCGGCTTATTATTTTTTGCAGACTGTAAGAGCAATTTTATAAAAGTAAACTTGAACTTTCAATTATGTGAAATAGAATTTCCGATTCTGGAGCTCCCCAAAGGATCGTACAAAACGAAAGTATGTTTCGATGTCCATCAAACAAAAAGTGGAATTGCTGCAAAAAATGGATAAAGACACGAAGAATGTGACAGAGAGGTTAGTGAAAACAAAAAAAAAATTTGATTGACAAGTTAGTCGGTATTCTCGGCACAGCAATTAACGGGACTTGAACAGCGGAACTTTGTAACTGAACAAGAAATCATGTCTCTTTATAGAATTAAAGAGAAAGTATTATAACATAAAATGAAGCAACTTAAACTACTAACATTGAAAGAAATGTTTAATAAAGTAAACAAATAAATATTAAGCTTTTTTTTTTTTTTTTTTTTTTTTTTTTTTTTTGTAAATTTTGATACCCTTTAGATTATAATTGTTCTTTATTTCATAAATTATGGTTTCATATTTTTAATTTTAGAATTTCTGCATGCCATCTTACGAGATTTAAACTGATGATCTATAATCCGGAATCGCCGAAGTGCCGACCAGTCCGGATTAACGACTTTTGACTGTATAGCATTTAAAGCAACATTAAATGGTCTTTTTATCTACCCCTCTCACTTGTTAAAAAATGATAAAAATCCAGGATCTGCTTTCCACAGAACAATATGCATGGGAACATATCCAAGGTAATAAAAATGTGCCATCAAAAGTGTTTAACAAATGAGTTTTTATTTGAGTACTGACAAACAACAGAGATGCAATGGATACCTGTGGATAGCAAATATCTATTTGAAAAATAATACCTAGGAAGGATCTCAAAATTTATTTTCTGACTGCATTCAGATTAATTTACAGCTGAATTTGGCTGATAAAACAGTAGTTCACTGAAACAATAGGTGCAAAAAGTTTACATATGTAATTTTGTACCTAGGCCAATAAAATGGGAAGGCATAATAGAAAGTGGAATTTGATGAAATTCTCTTTCACAAAGCGCAAAAATCAAATGGGAATAATGCTTTTGGAGCAGTGATTGCTTGGTGAATGACACAGAGAAACCAACAAATATTTCAAGTTCTAAATAGAAGGGTGGGTATATTTATGGAAGCCATAAAGGAAAGAAATAAAGATGGAAGTTTAATTTTTTTAATTCTTGGAAAGCTTAACTGAAGACTTAAGAATTTCAGGATTCAAACATCATAATATCAATCCCAGATATAACTTTATTCATTCAGAATCTGGTACCGTACACAGTTCATCGAAAGACTAAAAGACTCAGTAAAATGGTAAAATAAAAAATATGATAAAACTGCATGACAGCATTTAAAGTTTTACTTAATCAAATTTACGTGATATTGACTTTGCAAAGAGGATGACTTATTATCTCTATTTTCCCAGATATTTTGGATATTAGTTAAGATTTTTGGCCATTTTAATGATAGATGCACACTCACCAAGAAGTGCACTAACATTCCTGGGGAAAGACGTAATACAATTTAGAAATACAAATGCTCTATAATGCATACGCTTGTTTTTATACCAATTTGGTGATAAATGTATTTAATCATTAATGGTTTTATACAATTTTTTTTTATAAAACTCAAAATTTTACAAAATGTTGTATTTTTCTCAATAGGTTTAAAGACTAAATTTTTGAGTCTACTTCTAATTTTATGAGCATTCTAAGCTAAAGACCGTTAACTTGCCAAATAATATAATATTTATAAGCAAATGTATACTTTCATTCATTTTATGTGAACAGAACTTACTGTGAACATTCAAAACTGGAGCTATGGCTATCACAAAACGATAAATCATTGAAAATAGAGTGATTTTCCCCACTGCATGAGTCGTTCAATATACTGTGGATCTTATGAGCATTCTCATAAAACACATCTAAAAAAGAAGAAAATAAGAATATTTTTAAAATAATGATAAAAAAATATGCAAGTTATTTGTATTGTTACAAAATTAAATTATTCGGTTGTGAATTTCATGCTTTCATGAGAGTGCATAAACTCATATTCTTTGCACAGAATCCAACACCTATCGCATTCATGGCATCAGTCTGTCCGCTTCAGAATCAAACGTTTAAGTGTTTAAGAAAATGAAGTGACATATGCCAATAAAATACAATAAAAACAAGAAAGCTACTAATATTCATTGTCAGATATGTGGAGTATGTAGCGAAATGCAGTAAAATGCAAAAATAGGTATCATTGCTTAAATAAGGTTGGTAAAGTTCCATGATAATTTGTACTTGACCTTAATTAATCAAAGGCTGACTGCATGCAGAGGAATTTTTTTTTTTTTTTTTTTTTTTTTTTTTTTTTTTTTTTTTTTTTAATGTAGTAGTTGTAGCAGTATTTAAAACAAACAATTCAGGACTTGAGGAAAGAACATATAAGTTTATATTTACCATCAGGTATACTGGAACTCCAGTCTGAAGATGGTGATTTATAACTTTCTGGTGTGAAGCAATTTTGTACCTGATAAAATAAAATAAACCATTAAAGAAATGCAGCAAACATTAATAAAATTATATTTAATATTGAAATATAGAATACAGCCTATTTGAGAATGTTTACATATATATATATATATATATGTATTTTGTCTTTCATCTCATCCCAACTTACTAGAATCTATGTCGAGCAAGACACCATCTTGAACAAATTTCTTCCTTCTTCAGCCGATAACCCCCCCCCCCAACACACACCTTGTCAGGTTGTGCCAACTGTCTGTCACTTTTCATTGGCTCTTTTTTCATGACGTTTCTTCCCCTTTTACTTCATTGCACCTCGTTGGTTAGTTACTTTCTTATCTTTTCTGGAGGCAAACGTCCATTTGTTAACACATGGCTCTTCACAGTAGATGTTGTCAATCAAGTTCTTTTTTTTTTTTTTTTTAAATTTTTTTTCCCCTTGTTTTAATATTTGGCCATTGCAAGACCCAAATTAATTTGCTTTTAATTTTAAATTTTCTAGTTTTTCCTTTGTTTACAAAGTTTAAACTCTTTGAGCTAGTAGGTAATCCCTAAGAATCTTGTATTATTGACTAATAGCAATTCGCTATTTATTTTATTTTGTACATTTGCCTAACTAGGCCAGTTTGTATATTTTTTTCTTACACCATTAATGTATTAATGTGTTTTTCATTTTTTTACAAGCGGACGCGTTGGGAAATGAAACAGAGAAATTGAGACTAAAGTTTTTATCTAAGTTATTTTATCAGTAAAATCTTCAAAAAGTTTTGTGTAAAGTCTGGATTTTCCGTTTTGACGAAACGCGATATGGAATTAGCTGGATTCGAAAACCATTATGTATTTCCCCTGAAGAGTCAGTAATGATATTCGAATTGGGCTAATTTACCATTTACCACTTCTTTTTTTTTGTATTTTTGCTTATGTCTTATATAACAATTGTATTTTTATTCAAATGTTTAAAGCTTGTCTTAACTTAATCAACATATTACTTCCAATCTGATTTGAGTTTCAAATACGCTTATTATTTGTAAGTATTCTAGTGATAATTTCGTTTATTTTGTATTTACACTTTTCATTGCACTTTATTTTAACTTGTCTTAAAATTTTTCACCGGAACCACAGTATCACGACTTTTAAGCAGAAGCAAAAAGAATTTTCTTTTTACCTTGTTTTCTAATTTTTGCAGCTCAATGATGAAAATTCTTGACCACAAAGGTCTTTTTTAGTTTGTTTTCCTTTCTTAAATTATCATATATATTGTTTCATAAGAATAAAATGAATTTAATTAAAAAAAACTAAATTTAAATACAAATTTAATTAAACATTCTTTGCACCATTGCTGCAAGAAATGAAATTTAAATTTAAACAAATTTAAATGAATTTGAATTTAAATTTGTTTAAATAAATATATATATATATGTATGTATATACAGTTCTTAAGAAATTTCTATTATATATATATATATTTCTTAAGAACTGTTAATGCAAGCACCTATAGAAATTTTGTTTATGGCACAAGGTCAAGCAGACTGGTTGCCTGTACCACATGAAATGAACAACCCACCAGAACTGTTGGTAGAGAATTAAGTCTGTCACAAGGTCAACACACAATGAACATTTATATGGTATGTGCGAAACTTGGGCGAGATTTTTTTACCCTCTAATATGCCCTTTATTGCTATATTAGGTAAAATTATTGTACTATAAATCTTCAAAACCAAAGAGATTTAAAAATCTCCCTATATAAAAGAGAAAGTGCAATGAAACTTCCCCAAGATGACCAATGACAGTTCCAGACAAATTCTAATCCTTTGTGAAGGTGAATCGCCTCAAATAGGTGATCACTATAAAAAGTTTGACAATGCTAATGCATGTGTTTATTGATACATTTTAACATATTATATAACATTTAAAAAAAATGTTAGAGGCATATTTAAGATTAAAAACAAAAGATTGAATGCATTACTGAATTTTAATAGATTGATAAACTAAGGTTCATGCTATGCCACATAAAAATACATGCATTTAAAATAAGTTTTACAAGATCTGGAGTAGAAGAGAAGAAATTCTTATGAAAAGCAGTTTCATATTTATTATTAGCAGGAATTTCACAACACAAACAATATAAGCTTTCATCTTTGGAGGGGGGACTGAATAGAATCTGCAGAGATATCATCTAGAAATATGCTGTTCTGATTATTTAAAATCTATAAAGAATTTTATAAAATACTGATATTAGAATTTTCCCACAAAAATGCAGGAATTTAAGCGTAAAATCAGTTCTTAGCATAAATGGATTAATTTTTTGTAATTGGCAATGAGTGAAACTAACCATAATACCTTATTTCACAAGATTTGTTTATGTACAATGTATGGAAGTAAAGTAATTAATTTTACTACCTGCATATACAGTGTGTCTACAAAGTGTTAGGAGAATTTTTTTTAAACAAATTCCAGCAGCAAATCTGCCATATGATACACATATGATCTTTCCATTTTCAATTTATTAAACTATTGGCTCATCCCGAAAGTTCCAAGGTTTTTCAAATAGAAGCCCATTTTCTTCTAATTATTTTATTACTGGTGATAAGGAGTAGCCTTAAACAAAGCAAACATTTAAATATGGTCTTTTCTGCTCATGTTGTGTAATTTTAGCATGTATTGTAGCATAATTTTTGTTTCAGTGAAGTGTAAAGAATAGAGAACCCAGAAGTTAATTTTTATCATATTATGCTTTTATTAAAAAAAAAAAAAAAAGAGCTTGTAAAACTTTTGTAAAATTTGTGTTATATATGAATAAAGCACAGTTTCTAATGACATAGTTCAAACGTAGTTTAAGCTTGGAAATTTCAGCCATAACGATGGTGTCCACTCCTAGGTAAATAAGGACCCATTAAAAGAAACGATCGGCGAAAATCCATCCTATACAATTCAGGAACTTGATGCCCAAACGAATTGGAGCAGTTATCTGTGCAAAAGGTGGTCCAATAAAATATTGATCTTGGATTTCTAATTCATTGACCTATGTGTGTAATTGATAGCATTATATTATTAAGACACCTCTAACTGCTTCTCCTAAAATATCATCTGCTTAGGGACAAAATTTTCTACACAGTTACTTGTTTGCTTTGACCCAGTGAACATCTGGTGACATACACTGAAGAGCCAAAACATTATGACCACCTACTATGTGTCACGTTGCACGGACTTTGGCCTGCAAAACAGCTGCATGTCGCCTTAGCATGGCTGCCACAAGTTCTTGGTAGATGACTGGAAACAGTTTATACCAAAGCCCTAAGAAGCAAACACACAAAGTCGAGATATTCCGAAATGGTGGTATTTGGGCTCTGAGCTGCCGCTCTATGACATCCCAAATGTGCTCTATCGCATTAGATGGGGCAGGCCATTAACTATAATTCATCCTTATGTTCCTCGAAACACTCCAGCATAATTTGAGCCTTGTGATATGAGGCGTTGTCCTGCTGGAAGATTCCATTTCCAAAAGGGTAGACAGACGCTAGGTTAGAGTGCAACTGATCCGAAATTATGCTCAGATAGTCCGCAGTTTCCGTGGTCTGTTGTACCACAACTAAGGGTTCCAAAGCCACCCATGAGAACATCCCTCAAAGCATAATACCGCCACCATCAACCTGTGTATGACCCGCTGTACAGAGAGGGAGCAAATTCTCGCTTGAAGACGGTGTGACACGACCACCGACATGATGAATGAGAAATCGTGATTCATCAGACAGGCAACTGTCTTCCATGGTCCGGTCTCTATATTCTCAGGCCTACTGTAGGCATAGCTGACAATAACACTTGGTCAACAGAGGCACACGAGTGGGACATCTGCTGCGCAGTCCTATATCCAACAGTGTCCGCTGAACTGCGTGTTCAGAAACATTTGCACTTGGACTTGCATTGTATTGGGCTGTCAGCCGAGCGATTGTCTGGCGCCGATTTTGCTGTAGCAAAAGGGCCAGTCTACGATGTCCCCTTTTTTTTTTTTTTTGGATGATGCTTAGACATCCAGCACCTTGCATCTACTGTTGCTTTCAGCGTTATTTATCCATTTTGTTGAAATGCTATCAACGGCAGATTGTGAATAGACTACCAATAATGCGATTTCGGAGATACTCATTCCGAGTCTTCGAGACATCACAATCTGCCTCTATCAAATTCACTTAGATCTGTAGCCTTTCCCATCACTCGCAAAAGAAAGTGCAAGAAGGATTCCTTACCATCTCCAGAGGAGTGGTTAAATAGCATTCCCATTTAATCACATACTGTCCACATCATCCAGATGAGTTCATTGAAAAATATGGGAATAGTCATAATATTTTGGCTCGTCAGTGTAGATTCCAAAGCTGAGCTAGATCAAAATGACAGACACTAATCCTGGTTCTAAAAAATTGTGACTGGAGGTGAAACTTCGTGGTTTGATTCTGAGTCATAACGAGAACCATCTGCTTAGGTTGCATGAGGTTCACCATGGCCACAGTAAAAATCATATTAATGACTTTTTTTGGGTTAGAAACGGCTAATTCCTGATGAGGTTGTCCCCCAAGATAGTGAACTCAATAATTTATACAGATGTAAGAAGCTGACTTCTGAAGAAAATTTAGCACATTAAACCTGAAAAAGCCCAATGAAATAACTGGTATCTGCTGTATAATAACACATCCTCATATAATTTCATTCCCGTTCAGCAGTTTCTAGCTAACTTGCTTATTTGTCAGACTGGGCCCCTGCACACTACCTTCTCTTTTCCCTGAAATGAAATTCACTTCAAAGGTCATTATTTTAATAGCATTGGGAAAATGTAACCAAAGTCTTAAACATTATACCAAAACATTAATTCAATGAAGGACTGAAGTAACTGTATGAATGTCAGTGCACACTTAAAATGATTGTTTATTGAAGGATAAGAAGCAAGAATGCTCCCCTTCCCCATTTTTGATTTTGCATAAACTTGGTCCTAAAACTTTATAATGTACTGAATACATATTAAGATAAAGTAAAATTTTCAGGATTAAATACTTCAAAAAGCATTTAAACAATTGTATTGCACTTTCTTGGTATGAGGACAAAAAATACAGTACAGGATCATTCGAAATAGATCTGATATGTAAGCTGCTTTGTGCATGGGTAGCCATATTTTAAAACAGCAGAATTATGCTTGCTCAAGTTTCGGCATTTGATTATTTGCTAGAAACTAAATAAATAAAGTAAAAGCTCTTTTTTTTTTTTTTTTTTTTTTTTTAAATGGATTACTACTAGTGAGATGAAGTGGATACTATGCAATAATGTTACAAGAAAAAGGTCACACGGAAAGCCAAAAGTTGTTGTAACTAAATCACACAATAAATCTGGAAAAATGCTGTTCCAAAATGGCAGTTTAAAAAGCAGAAATTGAAGCAAAGCACCCAGAACTGCCCAATTGTCAAGGTGTTGTTTTGCATCAAGACAATGCTTGACTCCAGATTTCAATGAACGTCAGACAAAGACTTATTGAATATGGCTGGGATGTTTTGTGTCATCTGCCATATTCACTAGAACTTGCCCTCTTGAATTTCAATCTCTTCAAAATTCTTTGAATAGCCTGGAGTTCATTTCTTCGGAGCTTGTCAAACAGGACCTCAATAAATTTTTATAAATTTTAATGACTTTTTTAAGAAAGGAATTTTCTAGCTGCTGGAGAGATAAAAAAGGAAAGAACAAAATGATGCTTTTACAATTCCATGAACTTTTTTTAATGTTTTCGTACTGCTTCACTTGTATAGTTCACTTGTTCACAGTTTCAATATTAAACCAAAGTGGCATGCATATAAAAGACAAACTGCACTTCATGAATAACATTGTGTCCTTTCTCTGTCAGCTGCAAAACCAATGTTACTATTTACTTTTTATGGATTCAACAACATACATTAAGAGATATACTTACCAAATGTGAGAAATGGACTGACTTTTTATGGAATACCTAAAAAGAAAAAGAAAAAGAAGAGAAGGGGGGAAAACATCAAGACAGTGAAATCACCTAAAACTCTGAATTTAAATAACCAATCTTCAGCTAAAAACTTACTTTATTTACAGAATCAATTTGAAAAATATCAGCGACTGTAGGCCTTTTTAAGTAATCAGGCTCCATCATAGCAAATATCACTTCACAAAGCTCAAAACTAAGGCCTAAAAAACAGTACTAATAAATTATATGAATATTATCAAAGTATCATATATTACAATACCATCTTATAAGGTAATGAAAATGATTTACATAATACAGAAAGTTTTATAATGCAAATACATGCAAGAGAGCCACAAATAAGATGAAAATGCATGATTTAAAGATAATTTTATATAATTAAAAGAGCGAAATTTCACAAAGAATATGTTGCTAATGATAGTCAATTTAGAACTTTGTGAATAATGAAACGAAACAACAAATAATAAGATTTTTGAAAGAATTTTGTGAAAAAAAAAGTAACTGTCAAGAAGTGAAATAAAATTATAAAATAAATAAATAAATAAGAGCAAATAATTTTATATTATATCTCAATATTTGGAATTTCCTTTAAAATATTTTTCAGTTTAAAATGATTTTATTCACTGCCAAAAATTTTTGCAATTGTACTAGCATCAAAATATCAGTAAACAGAGTGTATTTATGAACCTACTAAACTAAAAAGTTAGAAGTCTTCTCAGCATTAACATTTTAACAATATATATATATATATAGAGAGAGAGAGAGTAAATATTAGAAAACCTCACTTCTCTCTATTTACATACAGAAAAGATGTGAGGCTATTTCTATTCACAAGCCAGTTACTTATGTTATCAATCTTTACCGTCATTTCACTTTTCTGTTTTCCTACCTGAAAGTCAATAAGGAAGAAAGAGATAGTATTTAAATGAAGGTTTCGGGAGTTTAATTCAAAGCATATTCTGAATCTCAAGGCCACATTACCAGGTTAGTTAGCTCAGATAAGATTGTACTATTCAATTTTGCATTATAGTTGCCTATATTTAAATTGCTATGCTGGTAAGAAATTTTGAGCCAACTTTGCATTAATTCGAATTATATAGTCTTGGGCTACTAGCTTGTAATTAAAATTTGAATTTGATTGTTATTTTAAGTTATCTTTCGACAAGTGACTGTTGGAGTTTGTGAGCACGAATTGTGCATTTATATTTAAAGTCTGATTTCATAAAAAAGTTTAAAAAATAAAAGATTAACATGCAAATCTGCACTGTAAAAGAAAAAATAAATTGCAACTTGTTTGAAAGATGAAAGATAAACAAGTGAATCTGCACTTGGAAAAGGAAATAAATAAATTATATTTATAAAATACATATTCAGTTAACAGGTCAAGTCATGCACATTTCAAACGGGATTAAATCAAATTTTAACTAAATGTTAATTAAAAAAAAATCACACCTATGCAATTTTTGATCAGCCTTGTAATATCTGTAATGAAGTACATAAGATGATATTCCTTCATATTTCATTCAGTCAAAAGTGAATTATATATTTATTTATGTACTAATTTTAACACACTATATATGATAAAACTTAACTGTTCATTATTTTCAATCATGCAAATTTCATATTTCTGAGAAACTGTTTTGCTATGAATGCGGTTCAATTTTCTCTATGATTCTGACTGAAATTCAGCTTTTAATTTCTCTGATCAAACACTGATAAACTAATTACAAATCAAATCTAAGTATGTAAATCATTTTATGCATTTCTAAAAAAAATATAATGAAATAACTATGAACACTACAAAAAAAAAAAAAAAAAAAAAAAAAAAAAATATCTCATTCATTATAGTGGAAATAATGAAAGAAACACATGTATAAGAAAAATGTAATTAAACATTTACGAAAAAATAGAAATAGCCTAAATTTCTAAGCATGCAAATACTTTTTATCAAATACATTCTCTTTCAAAATAGAAAAAAAAAAAAAAAAAAAAATCATAATAAATCATGAGATTTACTTATTAAAAGTTCAAATGACAATGTAATTCACAACATACCAACCTTTCAAAAATTCTGCTGGTATTTCCAATTTTCTCAACTGATGCCACATTTCATCACCTTGAGGCAAGTCTAAGTCACAAGCCAGCTCTAGTATAGTAATACCCAAGCTACAAATAGAAACAAAGATAATAAATTTAAGAGGTATGCTGATTTTAAAATTAGGCATCATTCAAGTAGATGAAAGATTCACATATGAAATGTCTCTTAAAATGACCAAAACCTTTGGTAAAATGGATGACAATTTGAGGCCATATTTAACCTAATAATAATAAAAAAATCTGAAAGCTTTCAGATTTTATATTATGCCCAAAGAAGAATTTTTTAAACATTTTGCATGTTACCTTTATTTGTTAAATATCATGTTTTTTGCACTTAAACCATAAAATTCAATTCAACAGCAATGTCATAAAATATTTAAAAGCATATCTTTAGAATTTATGATGCACTGTCTCGCACACTGGAGATAAAAATGTTCTTTTCTTCTGTAGATTGTTGTCATTGTTCACTTTGAAATCGTTGAGTTTCTTAATAAAATAAAAAATAAAATAAAATAAATAAATGCTTTACAAAATATGAAATAGATAATAAAACAAATTCAAAATTTGGGCTTCCAGATGCCCATATTTGGGTGGAGATATACGCTATTCAAAATTTGATGGCTCTAGGTACTGTTGTTTTATGACATGAGATACATACATATATTTATGCAGATTCTTCATTATTAAATTTCTTTAAATATAATACAGGGCTCTAATATTTGATGACAATAATTAAAAAGCTATTTGCTGTTTATGGCGAATCAATGCAAAATACCAAAACGAAATTAATAGCTCTTCTAGAATAATGCCCTTTGGGGGGGGGGAACATGTTTTCACTTTTTATTTAAACAATATAAATACACAGATGGAAAAATCATACAGGCAGTTGCCCTTGCTAAACAACAGACTAATCACTTTTTACTACAATACCATCTCCTTACCATGTTCACTTATGAAATTGAATTGTACTTCTGAAATCCTGAACAAATATCCAGACTGATAATCAGCTCACTTAAATCATTATGCCTAAACACTTAAAATATCTGGATTTGTGAGTAGTTGTCTTAGAAGGAAGGTTTACTGGACTTTAACAGCAACTGCCAAGAAATGCTCAGAGTAATTAAACATATGAACAAAAGAACAGGTGTGACATAACCAGCTGCCCACACTGCCTATAAACAAGTCACATAAAATTGTGTCCATGGCTATAATATCTACAACTGTAAACAGGCAAATATAATGCATCAACAGATGAGCCAGCTTAATATCAGAAAGTCATGGTTTTTCCCATGAGAGACATCAACACAAAGGAGTTTCCCTTAAAAGTTCTCCATGAAGGCACCTCTTCTCTTAGATAGATAGCTCTTGTGCGCTTTGCTATATTCAGTTAACCTAAACTAATGTATTGACTTTTGAACTAATTAATACAATTATCATATTATAGATGCAAACATCTAACAACAGATAAATTAATAGTTTTTAAAAATTTTGAATTATAAACTGCTTTACACTAACTGCATTAATAAGAATTCATATTTTATTTGTTGTAAAGTAGAAATTCCTTTTGTCATCAAAATGGTTCATAAAAGGAAACATTTCTAAACACAGTGTAACGTCTTAAGCTATTTTATCGACCATCACGAAGTTCTCAGAAAAGAATGACCTGCTTGTCTGCAAAACGGGGTTAGTCAATTTGGGCATTAACCTTTGTAGAGGCAATATTTATTTTATTATGTGAAATTGCTGTGTCAGATTTACATGTTTAAATTGATAGGTCACTCATAACCCTGAATGATTTTGAGAAACCTAATTATAATGTCAAGTTTCCAAATTTAAGAGGCATGTGTTATTTATAAATTAAGTTCTGTTTTCCTTTTGTCAAAAAGTATTTTAGAAATTTGCTTACTGTACTGAGCATTATTACCTGTTTGAGCTGAAATATTTTATTTAAAATTATAAGCTGAAAAAAAAAAAAATCTGAAATGTTTCAGATTTTAAATTACGTCCAAAGGGGCGTTTTGTAACATTTTGTGTGTTACCTTTCTTTATTAAATATCATGTTCCTCGCACTTAAACCACAAGATCCAGTGCAACAGCAATATCGCAAAATAGTTTTAAAACGAGCATATCTTTAGAATTTCCGATACAGAGACTCACGCGCTGGAGATAAAAATGTTTTTTCTGCACAACGTTGCCATTGCTCGCTTTGAAATCCTTGAGTTTGTTAATCAAAAATTCGTCAAAGTTTTAAAAAATAGGAAATCGATCATAAAACAAATTTCAAATTTCAAATTTGGTCTTCCACATGCTCATATTCGTTGGAGGATTACGTTATTCAAAATTCGATGACTCTATGTACCGTTATTTTATGACAATGTGAGAAATATACATACATTTATGCAGATTTTCATTATTTAATTTCTTCAAATATAATGCAGGACTCTAACATTTTATGGCAACAGTTTGAAAAGTGAACCGACATTTATCCGTCCGACGCAAAATGCCAAAACGAAAGTAATAGTCCTTCGGGACTCAAGTCCCTTTGGACTAATTATTTGTTCTAAATTATCTTTACTTCTTAACATTTTGCTAATCGCAAGTAGTCTGTGCAAAGCATATCATAAATTGCAATGTCATTTTTAGTGTGAAAGATTTTGATAGTAAGCAGCTAATACTTTTTGAAAAACTATTTTATTTTGTGTATGATATGAAATTTTGGAATTTGAAATATGTCATATCTTGGGAAGGGTAGGAAACAGATCTCATAAATCTGTCTGAGGAATTAGGTTTAGAGATTCCCCCCAATGCAAAAATACAGGATCTTAAAAACCTTATCATGCAATGTCCTCATTATGACGAAAAAGTTGTCGAGGCAACGCTAGAGTCCATTATTGAAGCTCGGATAGAACAGCATAGGCTCGAAGAAGCCGAACAGCAGAGACTAAAAAAGGAAAGGGAGAGAGAGTTTGAATTGGAATGACTGAGGTTGACAAACGGCAACAATGTCAAAGAAAATTCCCAGAATAATATTCCTAGGTCAATACGAGAATTGCAAAATTTAATGCAGAGATATAATCCCGAATCATCGGATATTTCTCTTTATTTAGCGATGCTTGAGCATCAGGCTCGGAAAGCGAATGTAGACGAAGGAGACTGGGTGTCGCATTTGATGGCTTTATTGCCAATAGACATTGTTTCTATTATTCTACGGGAACCAGAAGAGGAACTCGATAATTACGCTTGTGTAAACAAAATTCTTTTACAACATTTCAAATTGAGCCCAGAGGCTTTTCGGGTTAAATTTGTTCAGCACCAGCGGCGTGCAGGTACTTGATATAAAGATTTTATGTTCGAGCTGAGGAATTATCTGGATGAGTGGTTGAACGGAGCGGAAGTGCAAGATTTTGATTTGCTGAAAGACTTAATGTTGACAAATCAAATTAAACGTCGCGTAAACAGCGAAATTTGCGAACATTTCGTGGATGATTGGCCGAATATATCCTCCTCTGAATTAGTCAGAAAATTAGATGAATATGAAGTACTTAGGTCCATAAAAAAACCAACAGGGTTTGTTAAAAGCACTGAACTAGACACTAAGGAAAGGAAGAAAGGTGAACCTACAGATCGAATACGTCATGATGAGGGTGCGGAAGGAAAGACTGCCGAGAAATGGAAGTCAAATGTCTTCGAAAAACGGAGGGTACCTAGATGCTATGAATGGAACTCAGAGAATCATCTCCGATACCAGTGCCCATGATTAAAAGCTACGACGGAATCTATTGAAGTTGTAAATAATTTGGATATTTTGGGTACTCCAAACATGCGGCTTAACCCATATATTAGTACTGTGAAAGTCAACGATCGAAAGATTAAAATGTTTAGAGATACTGGATCCACTATTGACTTAATAGGAAGGGATCATGTAACATCAGAAATGTTGTTAAAGGAAACTGTCTTGATAAAGCAACCTTTGGACCTGCAACCGGTTCGGTTGCCTCTAGCACAAGTAGAACTCGAAGGACAGAATTTTGGGAAGGTAATTACTAAAGCAGCAGTAATTAGCATATTAAACATAAATTTTGTCTTTGCGAGTCTGGCACACACATCACATCAGCACTACCTATCTGTTTTCAAATAAGTCCCACATGATGCTCATTAATGCAGTGAATTCCTTTTCTTTTTTAAGCCAGAACTCAAAAATACTCCACTACTTGGTCTCAAATTTTTAACACCCCGCTTCTCCCTAAAATGCTAGGAAAAAACAGTATAATGTTTTAATATTCTAAGGATTTCAGTTAAAAATCCATTTATTATCAGTGGCACATCATTTTTATTTGATGCTCCTTTTCTTCAAGGTAGAGAGGAGGTCATGCACAAATAACATAGAATTTCAATGAATTATGTTAAGGATTTTGAAAAATGTATGTAATGGAAAGGTTAGTTTGGAAGAACAACATGCATGTCGAACTTAAAAATATTTACTTAATCATGGATGATGATAAGAGCAGTTATATTATTCCTTCTTAACAAAAATTAAGCAATGATGATTAATTGGAATTACACAATAACCATAATGAAGATCTTATGAGTGTGTTATGACATCTCATTTACCTATGACTAATACCAAAACACAGTGTTCCACAGCTTTCTTTCTTTCTTTTTTTAAATCAAAACTCCTGATGGTAAAATACGCAAATACCCTGACCACAACATGGTATCTTCCCAGGTATGTTGATGATGTGTTACAGTTTCTTGTTCTAATATCTATTACTGTTATATTACCCATTATTAGGGCAATTTCTTTGTACAGCACAATAACTTTGTAAAACAAAAGTTGAAAACTCACAAGTGAATGTGAAAGAGTTCAAGTCACGCATGCATATATATGAGGTAAGGAATTTAAAAATTAGGCTTATAAATTATTCAAGTGACACAGTATGCTGTGAAACTAATTAAAAGATCAACATATATGTGTGTGTGCATAATAATTTTGAATATGTTGGGGATAGTAATTGGATGATGACAATGAAAATCTAATCTCAGTCAGTTGACACACTCTTTAAGTAATATATTCTTGAAACACACATAGTTGATCGGACACAAGATGTGGAACTAATATTTTATATTATTAGCTGACTTTTTACATACTGATAAAAAAGAGGCAGAAAATAACATGTTAGCAGCAATGAGATGATGGGAAGACTAGACAATAAAAGTATTACATGAAAATTTAACATTTTAAAATTATTAATTACTTTAGTACCTGAAAATATCAGCAGCTTTTGTAAAAATGCCTTGCATTAATTCTGGTGCTATGTATCTTGGATCTCCTTCTATTGCATCTGTAACATCAGGCTAGACAGAAAATGAATTATTGTCATAAAATAATTCAAAATACTTAATAGACAGCACATTATACTTTAAATTATGAATTAAAATATCACCTCTATATAGATGAGATAGTAAAAACTATCACATATAGTAAAGAATACACATGCTGTTTTAAAATTTAGTTTTATTTTTTACACTATTTAGATAACTATATATATATACATACATAACTATATATATATATATATATATATATATATATACATCTTATGTATATACATACATAAGGCCACATATTTTGTTTTTCTTCTAATTAAAAATTTTGGCTGTATTGAAATCACTGATTTTGTTAAATAATGAAATCATTTAAAAGCATTGTCATGAAGGAAACATGGAAATGCTTTTTAACAAAGATTAGTATTTACATTTATACTGAAAAAATTTTCTGCTTTGCCACTTGCTTTGACTCAGTTCTGATTTCAAAATGAAGTGATTCTTTATAATTCCCTAACAATTTTATTTATTTATTATTTTTTTAACAAAAGAGTGTGATAGGACTTCTTTAAGAAAATATAACTTTTAGTGCCAACTTTAGCACATTTACCAATTAAAGCAGGTGCATATCTGCACTAGTAATTCCTTTCCTTTGAAAAATTCTCAAAACAGTGTTTGTTCATCTCATGTCTATTTTTATTCTACTTGTATCATGCATTTACACTAAACTTGCCAAAAAATTTACAGAAGAAATTTATTACTTCCAGGCATGTATATCACAAGTGCTCTAATTCTCATGTAATGATGGGATGGAAATGTAATGCTAATAAGTGTTACAGCAAGAACTGGGAGATGGTTACAAGAGTCACTTCATTACTACTTATTTCTACCCATCAAAGATTTTCAATTCTTAAAACAGATGTCAGGAGATATTTTCTTTTCTCTTGTAACTCAGTACACAGTTCTATCTTCTTATATAGAAGGTAAGTGACTTCTGCAAGCAGGGACATGCTGCAGACAATAATAATCTGATTGACATGATTTTCAATGCAATTACTCAACAATACATACTGGAAACCAACACAGGTGTTTCAATGATTCTGCTAAATGTTAAAAATATATTTCAACAAAAAGCACCAGCTAATATCTAAGTATCAGTAACTCTTTACCTTTTCTAAGAAAATATTCCTTAAGGGTTATTCAGATTATTTTCCCCCAAGAATGATGATGTAAACTACTGATCAGAGACTACTGCCCAACTTAACTGGAAAACAGTTTCACTATGAATGAAAAACATTCTAAGATGCAAATTTTTTCAGTTGCTGATTTTTGAAAGCTTAATCTTTCTTGCAATCTGACAATAATGAATCAGACTTTTAGAAGTTTTAACATATAAATGTCACAACAAACCATCATAAATCAAAACCCCTTCTTTTTAAAAATAAAAAAAAAAAAAAAAAAAAAAAAAAAAAAAAAACAGAGGTTAGCAGCATTATTAAAAACATAAGGCACAATTGAAGTTGAAAATCTAAAAAAAGTAAAAAAAAAAAAAAAAAAACTATTTTTATGTGCACATTTATTTAAAAGCACTTAAAAATATATTTTTTTAAAAAAATGCTCTTTTTAAAACATTCTGCAAGAGTATTTTTTAAAAAAAGGAGGAGGTCTTTTGCTTTTGCAAATAACAAAAACATAGGAACAGTAAAAAGAAGTATCCATAAAGATTTTTTCCATCATGAATTTCTCCATGTTAGAGTCAACTGCACAGTTAGTTGCATATTTTCTTCCACAATCAGTTTAAAGCCAAAACAACAACGGCAGTAAAGCACCAAACACTGATGTGACAGGTAAAGTGGTGAAATTAAACTGGCAGATGGCTATTTAGCACTTGGCAGAAAAATCACATAAGTATTGGGCTTTGTTGAGCTAATACACGCTGAATGTCCAACATACTCTGATGCATATAATGTTAACACCGCATATGGCCAAAATGACATCTGTCTCAGATCAAGCCACATATATTTCATGCTATGTCATGCTAGGAGAGGTAACCAACAAATTGCTAACAAGCAATAATTTTACAACACAGTATACGATATATTATCAAATGATATATCATTACCATTATAAGGGCACAGCCCCAATCATCCTAGCCGAATGCACTTTTAAACCAGTAAGATATAAGATAATTGTACGTTAAGAAATTACAGCAGAAAATAAATTACAATTATCTGTATGCAAAACGGAATACATAATGTTGTCATTAACCATCAGAAACCCATTAAGAAATTGTTCAACTGGAACTGTAATGGTATCAACATTAACCTTTCATTACTATTTACAATTTCTACCCATCAAAGATCTTCAAATCTTAAAACAGATGTCAGAAGATATTTTCTTTCATTTCTCCTGCAACTCGGTACACAGTACTGTGATACAGGGAGTGTTTACACACTATTAGAAAAATGTTCAGGATGTTTAATTAAAGCTTAAAATGTAAAGAGTATTTCCTTAAATTTATAATTTTACAACACAGTATACGATATATTATCAAATGATATATCATTATCATTATAAGGGCACAGCCCCAATCATCCTAGCCGAATGCACTTTAAACCAGTAAGATATAAGATAATTGTACGTTAAGAAATTACAGCAGAAAATAAATTACAATTATCTGTATGCAAAACGGAATACATAATGTTGTCATTAACCATCAGAAACCCATTAAGAAATTGTTCAACTGGAACTGTAATGGTATCAACATTAACCTTTCATTACTATTTACAATTTCTACCCATCAAAGATCTTCAAATCTTAAAACAGATGTCAGAAGATATTTTCTTTCATTTCTCCTGCAACTCGGTACACAGTACTGTGATACAGGGGGTGTTTACACACTATTAGAAAAATGTTCAGGATGTTTAATTAAAGCTTAAAATGTAAAGAGTATTTCCTTAAATGTTCCAATTGATAGCCTTTGTTTTCTGCATTATTAATCTGCATCATGATTTCCTTGACAGAATGACTTTTTTAAAAATTTCCAGGGGTATTGATTTCCGATGCTCTTCCACTACTTCCCACAGTCCACCAATCACGGTGGGCTCTTTTCAAGAGACCAAAAGCACAATAGTCAACAGGTGAAACATTAAGAGGACTTTGCAAGAATTCATTGAAAAGTTGCATATAAAATACCTGCCTGATATAAAATGTCTTTATTTTTTCATGGAATGCAGTGGTACTTTTCAAAGATATGACATTTTGCTTTGTCTTGATGAAGTTTCACTATCTGAAAGTCAATAGGAAAAAATAATGGAATTTGTTCTGTAAATATTGGAAGTAAAACTTTCTCTTGGTAGCACCTTGAGTACATTCCCCCCCCCATTCTTCTTACTTTTAGTTTCCCATTGTAAGGGAATCCTGTAGCAATCATAAATCCTTACTGAAACTTTCTCTGCCATTGAAAAAACCAGATTTATACATTTTTTCTCTTCATTTTCAATAATGCAGTCAATTAGGTAAATCAATGCTTTATCAACAGTCAGAATGCATTTCTAACTATCTCCTGCTAAAGAGTTTTCATGCAAGGTTCTACAAATTGTTCAGTGTTGCACTACATGCCTCAGCAAAAGCTGGTGAACATTATGTTTCTTTTTAAGTTGTAAACCTTGGTTTATTATTTGATTTATTGTTGCTATACATGTATTTAAAGACTTTGCAACTAATTCCTGCATAGGCAGATTTTCTCTTGTTACCAATACTTGAACTTTGAAAACAGTAGAAAGAATGCATACCTTTTTAAGTATTCATTTGTAGAAAGAATGCATACCTTTTTAAGTATTCTTTCCAGGCAGAAGTAATGATTGATGGCTTTTCATTTTCCGATATACAATGCTGCTTATTCTGTACTTAGAAATTTTAATATCATGCATTTTACAATTTTTGAGTTATGGAATAGAAATGTTTCTCTTCGGAAAATTCAAAAACAGGCAAAGAAGAAAAATCTGAAACCTTTCAGATTTTAATGGTTACCCAAAAGGACTCAAAAGTTAAATATGGCTTACCAGTAGAGAATATCAACACAAATGGCCCAAGAACATTTCATAGGATAAACAGCAAAACATTTCAGAGGATACTAGATGAATATAATTTAGACTAACATAGGAACATTATACATCTTCTGTATGCTAATATATATATATATATATATATATACAGTCAAAAGTCTTTAATCCGGACTCGTCGGGACTTCGGCGATTCCGGATTATCGATTTTTCCAGATTATAGATCATCAGTTTAAATCTGGTAAGATGGCATGCAGAAATTATAAAATTAAAAATATGAAACCGTAATTTATAAAATAATGAGCAATTATGATCTAAAGGGTATCCAAATTTACCAAAAAAGAAGCCTAATATTTATTTGTTTACTTTATTAAACATTTCTTTTAACGCGCGGATGCGTAAAGCATACCTTACTCATAGCTGAAATTGGAAAATTGCAACCAGAAAACTATGTGATTTGTATTCGTGATATTTATAATGACGAGGAATTTGATTTAAATCATATCAAAGACGGAGTACATCGAAATTATATACTACATTTAGTGAGGAATTATAAGCCGACTAAAATAAAAACATCTGCCCTGAAGATAACGATAGTGTTGACAGATCAACTTCCAGTTCATTGCGCGCCGCGACGTGCCCCCCCCCCCCCCGCAGAGCAGTGTGAAATTGATAAACAGATTTCGGAACGGTTAGATAAACAAAGGATATGCTTTTATCCATTTTTTGTAGCAATTCGTTTTTTGTTTGATGGACATCGAAACATACTTTCGTTTTCTAGATCCTTTGGGAGCTCCAGCATCGGAAATTCTATTTGACATAATCGAAAGTTCAAGCTTACTTTTAGAAAATTGCTCTTACAGTCTGCAAAAAATAACAAGCCGGATCCAATTTGAAGATTAAGGAACAACGCAATTATCAACATTAACTGAAATAGATAATTAGATAATTTTAGCTTTTACCGTCCGTTATACATTAAACGCGAACGCGAAAACGTATTCTGCACTTGCGCAGATGCATATGCGCAGTCGTAAATGTCTTGCGCGCACGAGTAAAACGCCTATGCGCATGCATCAATGCGGCACATGCGCAGAAAGATTTTAGCTTTGAGGTCCGGATTATAGATCATTCCGGATTACGGGCGTCCGAATTAACGACTTTTGACTGTATATATATATATATTAACAATATATTAACATATTTCTATTCCTTGGTAATGATATATGAAAAGTTATTTAATTATAAATTAAATTTTTTAATTTTTAATATCAGGAAACATGGTAAATCAGCTGCCCCTAGCCAGAGTTCAAATTACAGATCTTTCAGTACTAACCATTTCATCACAAGAGCACCCTGGGAGAAATGATAATTCCATATAGCTATCTTTCTGGTCAAAGTGCATTTATTCCTTTCACAATCAGTCTATATAATCTAAATATTTTTGTAACACCCAGTCAGTACAGTCATTAGGGGAATCTACTGAAGGGCCCAGGTTCGAATCCTGGAGAAAGCAAGGATGTTTGTAAATGTATAGTGTCTGTGCAGCATGAGAGCACTCTAAATATGTGGCAAGCTGTAAGTCCTCTCGAGAGGTTGGGGGGGGGGTGAAAATGAGCGAAGTTGCACTGTCACCTGTATGGTGCTCAAGGCTTTTGCTAAAGACAGGCAGAATCTTGCTCTCCTTGTTACGATAAATTTGGTGGGCTTGTTCTGATGTCACTATCAGGCAAGTGAGATAAGTCAATATAACAACAAATATTTTTGTTTAACATTTTTGCATAAATTATACTGAAGTGTCTACTTATACATGATAATTCCATTTTTAGCCTATGCATAGACCTTATACAAGTACTTTTGTAAAATTTTGTTTGCTCCCAAGTACCTTCGCCTATCCGTCACTGAATCGTTTCTGACATGTATTGCATAACATGTACTTTACTACAAATACCTGGATCCGTTCCAACGTAAACTCAGTAATTAAAAATATGCATTTTTCACAGGCATTTAAAACACTGTATTCTTACAAATAATATAACTTACCAATATCGTTTAGTAAATTACAGAATAAAATGATGTAATAACTATTTTTCAATACGCAAATAAATAAAAAGATGCTTAACCCGTCAGCACACGCACTGGGGTAAAATCCACCCCATGTGCAGTCTTTTCTTAGAAAATAAGGGAAGGTCGTACGTGGCCTTTCTAGTACTTCATGTACCTTTAAAAATCGAGGTTAACAAAGGGTCGTCCAGAGGAATTTTTCCAGTGTCTTTGGGAATTTGTGTTTTCGGGGAAGTAATGTGCGATGGGAATGTAGCTACCCCGCGCGTGTACTAACGTTTCACTTCTAGAAAAACATTCATTGAGATGAGTGTGTACGAGCGAGAATCGTAAAGACTGTGGGTTCTTCCCGCTAGTGTTGAAACTGATAGCGAAATTGAAGATTCCGAATCTGAGTGCGATAATATTTCTGAAAGTGCTCACGAAACTGATTCTGACTAGTAATATGATGATTCACATGATTTAGGGAGCATATCTTCTTTGACATCAGATGATTTTTACGTTTGAAAATATGGAACAATTTGAAGTAAAAATTACCATCGAAAAATGTTCGGACACGACCGCACATTATAGTGACACATTTACCTGGCGTCAAGAAAAGTTTTTGAAATTCGAAAAATCCAACTGAGTGTTTATTGCAAATTTTTGATGAAGAAATAATGGAAGAATTGGTGAAATCAACAAACATTTACATTTCATCAATAACAAACAAACTCTCTAGAGAATGTGATGCACAAGAAACAAGTGCAGCTGAATTGAAGGCGTTGCTTTTCCTATTATATTATGCTGGAGTGCTGAGAGCAGCACTTCTCAAAGCAAAGATTTGTGGTCAGCTGACGGAAGCGGAATAATAATGTCTATCAACCGATTCCACTTCCTGTTGAGGTGTATTAGGTTTAATGACATAAATTTACTAGCAGAGCAAAAGATGACGGCTAGATGACACTTATTAGAAATGTTCTTGAAATATTTGTCAAAAACATACGAAAAATGTATTATCTGAATATTGTACTATAGATGAAAAATTAGAACCTTTTCAAGAAAGATGTCGATTCAGACAATATATAAAAAGTAAGTTTCCAAGATATGGAATAAAAACTTTTGCTTTGTGCGATTCTCATACATTTTACGCATAAAACATAGAAAGCAGCAGTCTGTCGGACTATATAGACAATCAAATGTGGCTTTAGATGTTGTACAAAGACTTATTGCACCCATAAGTGGCACTGAAAGAAATATAACTAGGGAGAATTGGTACATGATCATTCCTTTGGCCAATGAAGTATTGAAAAGCACAGACAGATTGACATGTTTTGGGACACTTCGAAAAGATAAGCGTGAAATTCCAGAATTTCTGCCAAATAAAACAGGCTTCTGCACTCTTCGCGTTTTGGATTTAGAGGTAAAGAATTAACTCTTACTTCATAGGTTCCAAAAAAGAGTAAATCGATTCTTGTTCTATCGTCCATGCATGAGGATAATCAAATCGATCGTCTAAACAGCAGCTCAAGCTGGAAATGATAACTTTTTGCAACTCTACAAAAGGTGATGTTTATACTGTTGATGAGTTATATGGAACTTAGTCTGTTTCAAGAAAGTGCTGCCGCTGGGCTCTAATGGTATTTTTCGGACTAATGAACATTGCAAGTATAAATGCTTTTATTATTCGTCTATCAAATAACGACCAAGTGAATATGAACCGAAGAGCTTTTCTCAAAGATTTAGCATAGAACATGTCCTGAAAAAAGGGCTGCAATTCCTCTCTCTCTATCGAAAGAACTCAAAACTGGAGTAAAAAGGTTGGCAGGAATAGAAGATGTAGCAGACCTTCACCCTAAGAAATTGTCTGTAAAAATATGTTGTCACACTATGTGAGGATTGTTCAAAACGAGATTATTTGAATAATTAAACTCAGATAGGAGGGGGGGGAGGGAAAACCTATGTGTTATTTATATTTTTTAATGTTCGTATTTAGAATCTATTCTTTGATATGAATAATTGTAATACATTATATTGAGTTATATTTATACATTTATTTAAAACAAAGAAAATGCATTTATTTATATGTTGGGGAGTAAATTCGAAAAACAAACACTGGGGTAAAATTTGTCCCGCGCGTGTACTAACGTAGCACAGTGATGCGCGTGTGCTGAAGGGTTAACTAAATTATATAAAAGTTTATAAACCCACAATAATTTAAAATTACATAATGAAACATGTGATAAAAAGTAAATTTTAAAGTTTCATTTCTTGAATTTCCAAATAAAAAGTTTCCCTCATTTGAAAAAATAGCACTTTCTAATGGATGATTCAATTTAATTTAGATACACATGCAGATAGAATGGATTTTGACTAAACAAATCAATAAGCAGCCAATACTCTATTTTTACTAGGAAATTTTCCTAACAATAACACATTACAGCTATGATTGGCAAAAACCTAATGTTTTAAATGCGAATAAAAATTTAGTATTTTTATTAGAAAGTTTGTATCACAAAAGATAAGGGATATTTATGATACATATACATCATGTGGGTTCTTTATTATAAATAAATTTCAGTATGATTAGTTTTGTTTCAATATGTGAAACTGAAGCAAAAGAGGTTATAATGGTATTATAGTACATCTTGGTCATTTCGGAAACTTTATAATATTTTCCTTTCATGAACATCCATCCTGACTTGTGGAAAAATTTCAACATATACATACAAGGTGTTTAATAAAAGAATAGTGCAGTTTTAAAAATTAATAATAAATCACTGTATTATTTTATATGGGCAAACCTTACAGCAGAAGCAGAGGAAACCGTCCAAGTTTTAGTTGCATTAATCACAATCCTTCAGTATGTGCACCCTTCATCACATGACACACATTTACATGATAATCAAATTCTTCTCATACTTGTAGCATATTTGTCGTGACGGTCTGCAGTGCATGCTTTATCCAATCACAAACTTCCCCCAAGGCTCACGGGCGTTGGCGGTGTAAGAATAATCGAATATTCCAGAAAAAGAAATTGAATAGTGTTAAATCCAGCAAACGGGGTGGCTAGGGAAGAAGGCTGTCTGCTGCTGCAGCATGTCGGATCCAGCATTAGTGAACTACAAGATTAAGAAACTCTTGTACATTCCTGCGAGAACTGAGTGCAGTACTGTCCAGTTGCAAAATGTAATCATCAGAATTGGTGTTCAGCTAGGGTAACAAACAGATTTCCATCATGTCTCGAAATGAGTCATCAATCACATTTTCTTGTTCGAAGAAAACTGGCTCGTGCATTTCCAAAGATCTAGACACACCAAAACAGAGCACACAGACAGTCGCCAATGCTTACAGTGAAGGTTTTACCACGGGTAAGGTAATAAATTGATTTATTATTAATTTTTAAAACTGTACCATTCATTTATAAACAGCCTGTATATATATTTAAGATCATACAACATACAAATTTAGGGTATATATATATATATATATAAACAGCAAACTCTCCACTACCTAGTTTAGCTCTTTCTCTCTCTATATATATGTATATATATAAAGAAGTAAGACAAAAAATAAAGATGAGATGTATATTTAACTTGAATTTGATATAAGAAATGAAATACCTTTGACAGATCAAGAACTAGACCAAAATCACCGAGTTTGCACACACCATCCTCCGAAATAAAAATATTGTCAGGTTTAATATCTAAATGAACTAAATTGTGGTTATGTAAATGCTTCACAGCCTAAAGGGAGAGGGAGAAAAAGATATTGCAAATGTGTCTGTTAAAGTCTTAATAAAAGCAAGATAAAAAGCAATTAACAAATCTACTTACTGATAACAAATCGATTAAGTACGACCAGATGATACTTTCTGGAATGTTATGATTCTTATCTGCATATTGACTTAAGCTGGAGGAGATAAAAAAAGTTGTTCAATACAAAATACTTATGCATTAAAATTCTGAAAGGCAAATAAATAAATAAAACCTTTAGTTTTTACAGTCTGCAAATTTGGGTAATCTAGATCGAAGTAAAGATTTCTAGTATATGTCCATGGCTTGAAGAACTTTAAACTAATTAACAGTGAATGCTCTAGTATGCTCTAATAATCTGGCCAATATATCTGAGAGCATATATACCCAATAGCACAAAACATGATCTCTCTAACATGACCAACCCCACAAAGAAATTAATAAAATTAATATCTCTTGAAAATGGATAGTCATCTTGGAAAGGATTCTCTGTATTAAAGAATCCCCAATTAACATATGTGGAATAACTACACTGAGGATTACTTAGGCTATATCCATATTCAAGGACAAGTTAAATTTGTACACAATTGAATGATGGAAATTCTTTTCGCAAACCATCACATAGAAACAAAACTGTCTATGGAAAATATAAAATTATTAAAAAAAAAAAAAAAAAAAAAAAAAAAAAAAAAAGAGGGGGAAGATGCATGGGATAACAACAAAGAAAATACATAATCTCATAATATTTGAAAGTTGTTTTTATCTACAATGGTATGCAATTGAACACTGCAGGGGACAGTTCTATATCTCACGTTCTACTGGGCCAATAGACAAAATTCAAATTGTGTTTTCCATGTCTCAAAAACACAACTTAGAGTATATATTAGATTTATATATAGCATTGTTCCAACATAGGTATTTTGACACAAAATCAGACTTTTTCTGAAATAACATCAATTCTTTTCCATATTTTGATTCTACAACTCAAATTATGCACCATGCGATATAAATTCCAAATTTATCCAAAATGCTTATTCCGATTCAAGAATAGTCAACATAAAAAAAGAGACAGAAATGTCAGATAAGCAAAATTAAGAGCCAGGTTTGTCTGAAATTGACTTTTAAGAATCAAAAATTGTTTCTAAAAAACCTTAATGTCCATATTAATCCTGGAAATTTTTATTTTTATTTTTTATTATTATTTTTTTTCCATTATTTTACCTTAAAATTAAGACCAAAATTAACTATCATCACTTGAAATCAATTGTCCTTTTATCTTCTGTCACTATTTAACTCCATCACATGGATCTTTATTTTGTGTCTGAATTACAAATGCTTCATTTGCACTATCCGCTTTCTACATACAGGGATCTCCTTCTCAATACAAAGAAGTGAATTATCTCATTTCTTAAATGATTTTTAAATAGACTCAGCTTTTCTGCTTTCAAGGTTAAAAACCTACATCTTAGATTAGGAATGACTAAAGCAGCAGTCTCTAAACTATTTAGCCCATAGGCCATATTGGCTCTTTCACGAAGATTCGAGAGCCAATATCGAGTTAATTCATCATACCACGGCGATACAATTATGATGAACAGCATACATGTTGTTAAACAAGAGAGTGAGATTTTTATGATTGGATTTATAAGCTATGATCTCACAAAAAGTCTTGTTTTTTGGGCTTTCATGCAATTTCACCTAACATAAATTTCTTAAAGCTGTTTTTAAATATTTACAAAAATATATTTTTGTCTCAGAATGTTACACATTTCTTTGATTTACTTTACTTTACTTTTCAATGGTTTTACCTCCCCATTGGCACAATTTATCAGCGCATTTTACTTACATTTTGGTCAAGTGCAAACTTTTGCCCATAAGTATTTCATATTCTGGATAAGTTTTGTGTGAAAAAAAAAAAAAAAAAAAAACTCCAAGATTAAAATAAATTACATCATGTACAGAACAAAAATTAAGTTTAAAATAAAATCACTACTGAAAATTTCTATCAACCAACCTGGAATACTACTATGAAAGTAGGAAAGATAACCCAGAAAACCTTTATTCTTGTAAAATGTATCATGAGAATTTTTTATTTTCTTGTGTGCAGTAAAAGAATTATTGTAATCGGGAAAAATTTAGAATATCGTATTTCATTGAAAATATCAATTTTGACCTCTCTCGAATCCATCAGAATGATTTTTTTGGGGGGCGGGATGTATGTGACATCTCTACATACGCACAGAATACAGTACCATTTTCCCAAAATGGGTTGCAAAATATATTCAGGAGATATATTTTTTTGTGAAGTCTGTACTGCGTATGTATGTATCTTGCATAATTCAGAAACGAGTGCTCTCAAAATGTTGAAGGTTTGTATATTGGACTGCCCTTTTTGATTGCAATTGGCTGCCTTAAAATTCTCTCTCTCTCTCTAGATATATATATATACCCACTCTGTTACCAGGCTCAGTAAGCTCATTTTTTTTATTCTTATACAATTGAAAATTGTGCATTTTTTGTCTAAAAGTGACCAAATTATATTTTTCTTATTCAATTAAGGATTTTACGACTTTAGTTAATCTGCATACACTAGTTGTAGAATTATCAACAATTTAAAAGTTACTCCAGTGCTACTAACTAAGGCACTATTTGTTTATATTTTAAACTCTTGCTTTGTTTGAAGATGTTTCGAGTTTTTATGTATTTTTTTGTCTTGCTGTGAATTGAGAACTGAATTGATTGAATGAGAAATATATCTCTAATGAAATTTGAGGAAACAAGTTTAAATGAAGAGCGGCAAAACATGTATGCAATTTAAAGGACATATGAGGAAGTCATTCGTGTCTAAATGAGATTTTTTTATTTTGAGTGTTACAGTACTTCACTCATTGTAAATTTAGAAACAGTTGTATAATGTTTATAAGATGCTTTATAAAGAACATGTATGACAGGCAACACATTTCTAGATTATCTATTATATAAAATAGTTAATGTGTATGTTATTTGTACTTTAAATTTTATAACATTATTCTAAAGAAACCCCTGGTGGGGCAGATCATTAGTGCTCTTGGGCCAGATTCAGCCCTCGGGCTGTAGTTTGGAGATCCCTGAACTAAAGATAATTTTTATGCCCCAGTTATACCTAAAATTACTGATTATGTCAATGAAAACTAGACGTCGATTTACACACAGGAAAATGCAGTTCCGATTACTGCATTGCAGCCAGAAAATTGATTGCATTTTGATATATGCATTATATTAAGGTGATTCCACATTGAATTAATTCTACCAAAACCAAAAAATGTGGTGGGCTTAGAAAAACTTCTTAAATAGAGTTCTATTACATAATTAAAAAATCAATACTTATGTTATCACATCTGTTGGATCTTTTTCATAATAGCACAACAAGGGAGAGGGGTCTTAAACATAAGAAAAATGTTGCTTAGGTTAGTTATTTCAATAAACAAAGAACTATACAAGAGTGGCACATTTTAAAAACTTATTATTGGTAATACTTTGAAAATATGAACGTTGTCATAAAAGATAATGACATATTTTAAAGGAAACATATGGGGAACAAAATCAATTCAAATAAATTTTTGCCTTAAATAAATTTTATAATATTTTCTGCTGGAAGAAACAAGTTGGCATGCATACCATTTACAGAAACTAGTTTGGTGCATTATATTATACACTGGAAAATATCCCACTTGCTAAATAAGAGATGATTCAGAATGCTTTCAAACCTAAATGAAATATTTTTCAGTACTTCCTCGTTTAAACGAGCACTGCATTTTTCACCAAACTAAATAAAATTAATTATAAACTACAGTCAAAAGTCGTTAATCCGGACTCGTCGGGACTTCGGCGATTCCAGATTATAGATCATCAGTTTAAATCTGGTAGGACGGCATGCAGAAATTACAAAATTAAAAATATGAAACCGTAATTTATGAAATAAAGAACAATTATGATCTAAAGGATATCAAAATTTACAAAAAGAAAAAGCTTAATATTTATTTGTTTACTTTATTAAACATTTCTTTCAATATAAAAGTTGTTTAAGTTGCTTCGTTTCATGTGATAATACTTTCTCTTTAATTCTATTAAACAGACATAATTTCTTGTTTAGTTACAAAGTTCCGCTGTTGAAGTCCTATAATTGCTGTGTTGAAAATACTGACTAATTTGTCAATGGAAATTTTTTCGTTTTCAATAACCTCTGGGTCACTTTCTTCACTATCGGAAGCGAATAATAATGATGAGTAACTTGATTTAAATCATATCAAAGACGGAGTACATCAAGATGAAATACTACATTTAGTAAGGAATTATAAGCCAAACAAAATAAAACATCTGCCCTGAAGATAAGGATAGTGCTGACAGCTCAACTTCCAATTCATTGTGCGCCGTGGCGTGAAATTGATAAACAGATTTCGAAACATACTTTCGCTTTGTAGATCCTTTACATATTAGTAAATATATATTGGAAATTCTATTTGACATAATCGAAAGTTCAAGCTTACTTTTATAAAATTGCTCTAACAGTCTGCAAAAAATAATAAGCCAGATCCAATTCGAAGATTAAGGAACAACGCAATCTGCAACATTAACTGAATTAGATAATTTTAGCTTAGCTTATATCGTCCGGTACACATTAAACGCGCATGCGCACACACATATTTGCAGCCGTAAAAGTCTTACGCGCACTCGTAAATGCCTATGCGCATGCGTGAACGCGATGCATGCACAGAAAGTTTGTAGCTTTGAGGTCCAGATTATAGATCATTCCAGATTATGGGTGTTCGAATTAACGACTTTTGACTGTATTACATGCAAATTTTAAATGTTGGTAAAGGAGTGTCTGCTTTAGTACTTAGCCTGTGTAGCTACTAATGCAGAGACTAAATTTATAATTAGCCTGTGTAGGCTTAAGTGAATTTATGGCTGCTTTAACAAGAAAGTATCTATGTTTCTTATCCTTCATCAAAAACTAGCCACAATTCAAAATTATCTTACATTTTTTTTTTTTTTTTTTGGATTAAGGTTATCTAATATTTACTTTAGACTAGTGGAAGTACCCAATGGCAGTTAAGTTAGATTGAGGGCAATGCATCTAACAACAGAGAGAACGATACCCCTGTAATCCTTCTCTAATAATGATGCAAAAAATACGATTCATAGTGATACATTTTTCAGTCTGATGGGATATGGAATCCACATAAAAAATTTTCATAGAAAAACAAACTAATTCTCTCTCATTATAATCAGCAACAATGGCATGCAGTTTTTAATGATTTTCCTCTTTCTAATCAAATGGTTGTAAAAGCTCAAGTTCCATCCCATATTTCACCTATAGTCAATTTTTATAGATTGAATGTGACAAAAAATTTATCATAATTAATCAGAAATCAATAATGCAAACAAACAAACAGACAATATTCCTTATATATGTAGATTTTGTAAAACTTATGAATTTTTGATTAACAAACTCTACGATTTGAAAGCCAGTAGAAGCAACACTTTTCGAAATAAAGCATTTTTATCTCCAACGCACAAGACTGTTGCCACTCAGGAAAATGAGTGCGAAAATTAATGTTTTTGGAGTTTTTAATTAATATCTTGCCTAATTAAAGTTGTACGCATTCGAAATGGCTTCCCATGAATTTCTGGAATCTGGAATAATGCATTTAATGTTTAGAAATGCTATATTTTTATTTCATTGTAAAACTTAAAATTTTTTTCTTAACAAACTCCATGATTTGAAAGTGAGCAATGGCAACAACTTTCGAAATAAAGCAGATTTTTAGCTCCAGCTTGCGAGACTGTTGCCACTCGGAAAAATGAGGGCGAAAATTATCCTTTTTCAGAGATTTTAATTAATATCTCTGATTTTAGCTACTTTTTTTTTTTTTTTTTTTTTTTTTTTTTTTTAAGAAAAAAGTGGACGTCAACTTTTTTTAGGACCCAGAAAAGAATAGTAGAACATTTGGTGACATAAACTATAGTACTGACTGAGTAATTAGCGAACAAACACACAGACTTTCTTCTTTAAACATATATATATAGAGAGAGAGATTAAGGTTTAAGACATGTGGCTTTTGTTTCTTTTTAATCACAAATAAATGAGCTCTCTTGTGGTAACTATCTTTGAAACTCATCAATATTTCTGAGAACATTGCCTATGACAACCAGTTTCATAGAAAATCAAAATTACATATAGAATTCTCATCTTAGGAAAGATTCACTGTATTTTAAAGGTTAAGAAACAAATTACATCATTAGCTAAAAAATATGCTCAATTTTGTTAACTTACCTACAACTACATAATTCAGTTTGAATGTAAAGATACTGTTTTTCTTCCCAAGCTTTGTAAAAGGTAACACAGTTTGGATGACTAGGTAGTTGTTCATGCTTCTGGACTTCCTGTATTTTCCGTGCTCTGAAATCACAATAAAATTTATTATTATCAAATTTTGCAAACTATCAACATTTATACAGTAAATAAAGTAGACTTAGAAACCTGTCAGATCTTCCAGTAAATTTTTCTTTAGCACGTTTGACTGCATAATATTTTCCGTCTTCTTTGCATTTTACTTTAAAAACCTATAACAACAAGTATAACCTAAATTAAAATTTTCAAATAAAACAACAAAAATTGTTACTTGCAGATCTTCGAGGCAATTAGTTTTCCAAAATTTTACACACACACACACCAAGAAGTGAGTTAGTTTGTTGGGTGAACCAACAAACTAACTCACCAAACTAAACACAAATTTTTAGCAGCAATGATTCTGCAACTGCCACAGGAATAGCTAGGAAACAATTTTAGCAGCTCCAATATTTTTGTCACATATATTCAGCAAAATGAGATTTCAAGTATGATATTTTAGAAAAGTGTTTTAGTGCCTTTTAAGAACTTCAACTGAAACCATTCTACTTTTTTAGAGAATTATCAAAGTACCTAAAAATTTAGTTTACATGAGATCAATCCTATACACAAAAAAACTCGCCAATTAAAAAATTTTTATTGGGTCTTCTGATCTAGTCTTTAGTTTAGCAAACTTCTTCATAAAGTAGAAATATTAATCATTACAAATATTTAATTGCTTCTAGTACTACTTGATTGATAATTTTTTCTAATCAACATTAGATAAAACATAATGCAATCAAAAAAGGAATTTTTGATTTATTAAACCAGTTTCTGTCATAGATCTTTTCTTTTTTAGGTATTGTTTACTAGTACAGTATCATGTAAGTTCATTGTAAAGTTTGATCTCATGATTGCTCAGCCAACACCCAATGCATAGCAGAATTTTCCTTTTTTGGACGAACACAGCAGAAATATAAATTTAAAAAAGCATATGGAATATCATATAACAAGGAACTGAACACAAGAAACTAGCATACAAAAGATAAAAGGGCACAGATGAAGGATAAGTACAGAAAAATTTAGGGTTGCTATACTAGACTTCATCACAGTTTTCCTGAAGATCCACAAGTACCCCCCAAAATTAGTAAATAGGATTAGAAAAGATTACTAAGACAAATAATACTGTTCTTTTCAGACACAAACAGTGAGAATGAAAGTTAAAAAAACTTACATCTCCAAATGATCCAGAGCCAAGCTTACATATGACTTCAAAACACTGATGAAAGTATAATTTATTACTGCTGGAATCATATTTTGAAGATAATGCTAATATCGTAAAGAAGTATAACAAAATGTATTAAGAACAGATTGTACGTATATTACAACAGCTCAAATAAATTATTAAGATATAAACATTAACCTATACACTTTTGAAAAACTATGTGTCAATCACCTAGAGTTGGTAGGTGTCCCAATTTTGAATTTCAAGTCCTGGTGTCCTTGCTATATCTTTCAGGATGTTCAAATGTCCCGGTTTACACCTTTTTGATTTTTACTACTGCTTGTGTTATCAAACAAGTAGCGTCCCTTCAACTCAGCACACAACACACTGTGTTCCTTGCATATTCTCATAGTTTTCAGTCTGCAACTGTACACAGAGATGTTTTGATGATTACTCAGATCAGTTGATTACAAAGCATTTCACGACAAAGTTGGAAAAGATAATATTTATTTAGATATAATTTATTTCATTTTTTTTCAACTGATGTAAATACATTTTTACTAATTAAATTTAAGCTAGTAATTCCTTAAACATTGTTTCTAAAATTAATGAAAACGTTTCTAAATATTTTACAATTTTTTTAGCCCTGCCAAAGAGAAAGTGCAAATTTTCCAACAAATGTGGCGAGAAATACTTTTTTATTGAAAAATGCACAATAGAATATGAAGGCTTCTGCAAACACAGTAATATATATTTAAATATTTAGTCATGCGGGAACTTCAGATATAAAAGATCACACTGGAAAGGAAAAACATAAATCCAACATATGATCCTCAAGTATAAGTAAAACTCTCATGAATTATTTTGTAAAACATGACAGTTTAAACTGCAGCAATCTTTTGCTTCTCCAGACTGTTTTAATAAGATAATACCAAAAATATTTACAGATTTAAAAATTACTACACGCTATGCTTCAGCTAAAGCAAAAACAATATGTTTGATTACACAAGTCTTGAGCCTCATTCGGTTGATCTCATTTATTAAACTTCTCAACTTCAAAGTTACTCATTTTATAGCATCAATACTGATGCAAGTAATGATAATGAAAAAATAAAAACCCTTTTCATCTCTGTATTAAATATTATACCAAAACAGGCATAAATATAAAATTATTGAAATTACAAAGTTTAAGAGGAGAGATATCAGATACGGTCATCAATTTCTGTATACAGATTTTAAAGGATTTAAAATTTGACATAAAGATTAGAATTAGATTTGGAGGTGATAATGTTATCATTGATTTCAGAGGCATGGTACTAATTATGCGTACAATAAACTAAAAACAGAAATTAGAACAGATACTGGATGAACTGGGTGACCTGCTCGCATATTACATACTATCTGGTTGTAACCAAAGTTTTCAGCCAAAAAATGTTCTTAATAAAGTTGGGGGGGGGAACACAAAAGCAGTACTTTTAGTGCAGGTAGTAATCAACACTCAAATCATGATCTTCGGCCCAGAAACATGGTGGCCACAAGTCCAAAAATAGATCACTCTCATTTCAGATGTCCTGTGCAGAACGGAAGATAGCACCAGAAAGATGTAGCTGCAGGTGTGAAAAAAGGTAGAAGTCCAAAGAAGCCATGTCAGGGCTATATGGTAGGTGTGGCAAAAGATAAAATTAGAGTCCCTACAGAGTCCATCTGGTGAATGCAGACACATGTGGTCTTGCATTATCTTGATGGAACTTTACCTGTTTGCACCAGATCCCAGTTTGGTATTTTTCTTTGATAGCAGCATCAATACGGACTAGCATCTCACTGTATACCTACTGTCAAGGATTTTACCTCTTTCCAGATACTATTTGTGGATAATACAACAGCAATCCCACCAGATACTAAGCAAGACCTTTTTGTTAGTCAAATTGCGCTTTGTGACGCAGCCAACTGGCTCACTGGGTGCAGACCAACCCAATTTTCAGTCTGTGCTGTTGAAGCAAATCTACTTTTCATCACAGGTGACGATTGAGTACAGAATTCTGTCCTTGTGTTGATATTCGAGCAGATTAGTGCAGGCTCAAACATGTGTGTCCTTACCTGCTTAAGTCAGCTCATGCAGCACACAGCAATTGAACTTGTACATCAAGTTTATGCAATGCGTAATGCAACCAATGGCCATTGCACTAACATGTAACTCCCTAGCAAGCTCTCGAGTGGTTGCATACTGATCTTCTTCCACAAGTTCTTGCAGGCAGGCCTCATCAACATCAGCAGGCCAGAGTACTCTGCTTCTTGAATGTCATAGTCTTTGTTTTTGAACTTCCGGTACCAAATCTTCACAGTGTCATGTGATGTAACATCAGTACTTAAAGTTGTACACATGATTTGGTGACATTCTGTAGCTGACTTTTTGCAACAGAACTGGAAATAAATGATGGTTCTAATCTGGTAGCATGATAGTCCCATTTCAGACATAATAATAATATGATAACGATATTTATATAGATAATATTTTTTACAAATTTAACAACACACTTTTCTAAAGCAAGTTTCTTTCTTTCAAATGCCAAAAATCATTTGACAAAATATGATTAAACATGCGAACATGAACTGTTTGCTCAAACGATATTTGTGGTGGCAGGAAACTTTTGTTAAAACAGATATAATACAAACAGCAGTAGACTAATTATCATGAGACATTCATCTAATAATTCAAAAAATATTTATTTATTTTGTTATGTACGCTGTCAGGACACAAAAGTTAAAAAATTTCTGAGAATTTGCTAGAGCAGAACATAAAACTTTGCTCTAACATTTTAAAACAAGATGGATGTCTTTGTTACCAGCTATTATAGAAGCTTTAAATGTTATTACATAGACTGAGAATGTAGCAACGGAAAAGTTGAAAATTCAATTTTTACCCTTTTAAGTTAAATCTGTGTTAAGAAAATAATATTAATAATAAAGACTTTCATGAAGAAGTAATAAAATAATAAAATTTTAGAAAACAATGACCGAATATTTGAAACTGTGGACAATACAATTAAAGAAATACTTTGTATTTTCTTGGATGACTTAATATAGTGACTTATATATATTTAACTCATTATATTAAGTCTTGGATGACTTAATATAATGAGTTAAATTGCATAAATCTGCACAAATAATTTTTTCCATATCATGTCACAACGATAATGAAAAAAGAATATTTTCTTTGAATGATCGATGAGAGGATACTGTTGAAAGTATTCTTCACTGCTTAGAAAATTAGGATTTTAATTGTTGTGAAATGCATACTTACTGAATAATAAGACCCAGTTAAAAAGTAAAGAAAAGGAATAAAAGGTCAGTTTTATTTTTGTGATATTTTAGTAACATCTGTGAGATTATTTTTATGGATTTAATTTTTGTTCCAAAAAATATATTCCTTATAAAGATGCAAATATGTTTTATATATCATACATATATACAAAAGTATACATTTTGTTCTTAATAAATGTATTGTATGTTACAATTTGAGTTTTTTGGAGGGCTCGTTGGGTCCCAGTTTATGACATTAACTACATATTAAATTCTTTGTACTTTTCTGTTAATGGTGCACCAGAGACCAAATGTAACAGCCTATATATATATATATATATATTGAATAATGAACAGTTGCACAATGACGACATTTACACAACTCTCTCATTTTTTCAAGCAAAAACAGATCGCTGTGCACATGCGGAGAACAACAGTTTCATTCTCCCCATATACACAGTGATCTCCTTTCACTTCAAAAAGTTTCAGAAAATTGCATGAATATATGCATAACATTGGACTTTCACACATCAAACATTATATGGATGTTTATGTTTAGCACTAAGTGGTACCCTGTTAACAGAAAAAAAAAAGTACAAATTCTTTTAATACAGAGATGCTTCATAAAAGAGATCCGATTCCGAAAAGCAGTTCATAAAAAGGATACATGATGCTGAATCTCGAAAACTGATACTCTGGGCTTGGTCTGAATAGCCGCTTTGATTAGAAAATAAACGACTCACAGAAGCACAGCCTTTACCTTGAACTTTTATTCTAGGGGTCGGAGGTGGCTTTGATGCAGGAAAACTCAGCCTTTCCTAATTAAGTCAAAAATATCATTTAAGAGTTTATCACTATATATAAATGTCCTATTAAAATGTTGTTACAAGAGATATAAAAACACCTTATACAGTCAAAAGTCATTAACCCATAATCCGGACCTCAAAGCTACAAACTTTCTGCCCATGCGTCGCGTTGACGCGTAAGACATTTACGGCTGCACATAATACGTTTACGCATGTGCGTTTAATGTATAACGGACAGTATAAGCTAAAATTATCTATTTCAGTTAATGTTGCAGATTGCGTTGTTCCTTAATCTTCGAATTGGATCCAGCTTATTATTTTTTGCAGACTGTTAGAGCAATTTTATAAAAGTACGCTTGAACTTTCGATTATGTCAAATAGAATTTCCGATGCTGGAGCTCCCAAAGGATCTACAAAGCGAAAGTATGTTTTGATGTCCATCAAACAAAAAAGTGGAATTGCTGCAAAAAATGGATAAAGGCATATCCTTTGTTTCTCAAACCATTCCAAAATCTGTTTATCAATTTCACGCTGCTCTGCGGCCGGGGGGGGGGAATGCCAAGGCACGCAATGAATTGGAAGTTAATCTGTCAGCACTATCCTTATCTTCAAGGGCAGATGTTTTTATTTTATTCGGCTTACAATTCCTTACTAAATGTAGTATTTCATCTCAAAGTACTCCCTTTTTGATATGATTTAAATCAAATTCCTCTTTATTATAAATTCGCTTCCGATAGTGGAGAAAGTGACACAGATGTTGTTGAAAACAAAACAATTTCGATTGACAAATTAGTCGGTATTCTCGCCACAGCAATTATAGGACTTGAACAGCGGAACTTTGTAACTGAACAAGAAATTAGTTAAACGTTTAGATTATAATTGTTCTTTATTTCATAAATTATGGTTTCATATTTTTAATTTTAGAATTTCTGCATGCCATCTTACGAAATTTAAACTGATGATCTATAATCCGGAATCGCCGAAGTCCCGACGAGTCCGGATTAACGACTTTTGACTGTATAGTACTCGTGAATTTTTAAGGTAAACTGTTTGCTAAAAATTTCATCAAAATAGTAGCAATCTAGATATAAAAAAATAGAACTTTCTGATTATCCACACTTCTATAAAAAATTTGAAAACTTATAATGACTTTGGAAAGCATTTGTGAGCTTGTTGGTAGTTTTGGTGGAAAATGTTTAAGTATTGTAATGTCTGAAATGTTTGGATATCATCTCCTGAAATACCTTTTTTTGTCCATTTCTCCAAATATGTAACAGTAGTCTGATAAGATGAAACAATAGCGTCTTGAAATTCAATAACTTCGTATTGAAATACATCTCTATTCTCTTCAAGTTTTTCTAGGTTTATATATATATATATATATACTTATTGAAATAAAGTTATCCTCTATCTTGTTCAACACTGAAACTTTCAGAGCATGTACTGAAGCAATTACATCAAATATAGACACAATTTGATTTTCAGTTGTCGTAATAACTTTATTCTAGGCTTTTTTTTAAAGTGAAAATAGGTCGACGTGTACATGGATACCATGTATGAGCAATTCTTAAAACGCGGCAAGCAGTTTGCGATTCTGCACTTTTTCCCAATTTCGCACCTAATCTTCGTTATGATTAAGCCCTTTTGTTCCATAAAAGTTAAAAGTTCTAGCATAAGCGTAATTCGGCTAGCAGATTGTTGAAAAAAAATGTTGAGTTAAAAAAAAAAACATGCCTTTACTTTGTGAAAACAAAATGGCGTCCAAGCAAAAACTAGCAGATTGCTGTAGCAGGGTTGGCCGCCAAATTTTTGCCAAGTTACCATAATCCAAAGATTAACCGAATACTTTTCTTGAGACTGAAAATAAGCCTTCGGTGGCAAAAACATTTGGTCAATCCCTTTCAAGGGCAGGACCATCTTGTTTGTGAATACCCTAGTATCATTAACCCGGCAGAAGGCGCGCACCCAACACTGACGTTGGAGATCGCGCGGGGTGACAATGTCACCCCAATCAGTTTCATTAGGAAAATGTGTTATATATTTTATAGAAATCATGGCTGATCTTCGGAATATGGTAACAGGTAGTTTGGCGACATTTTGGAGGCGATAAAGGATACTACCTAGGACTTTGGGAATAATGTGAAGAAGTACTGAGTTCCGATTACGCATTATTTTGTGTGAGGGAAATGAGAGATCATGAGATATGTCCATGTGACGTTAATGGACGAATCACTGTTCTTTAATCAGGAACAAGGGTGTAAATTCGTAAAAAAAAATATCTGCTATACAGCATTAGTTTCATTCTATGTTTTGTGAGACAGTGTTGCTTTAATATTTGGATTCCATGGCCCTATATAAAGTAAATCCAAAATTTTTATTGCCATTTATGTGTAATTGAAAAGAATTGCTTAATTGCGGATAAGTATGAATGTCAAACATGTGGGTATGAAATGAGATTGTGTGAAAGGAAAGATATTACAGATAAGTTTGAATGGCGGTGCAAGAAATCTGGTGAAAATGGACATTTTGTGATCTGCCATGCACTCAAGATTCTGTAGAAGATTAGGTAAGTTAGTATTTTTAATTATTTGAGGATATTATTTTTATGCATTGTTCTAAATGTAAGGAGTAAATAAATTAATATGGTATTATTGGAAAATTGTTATTAGCAATGATTTAGTTTAAAGTAATTAGGATTGTAAGCTAATTTTTATTAATTTAATGATCGTGATTTTGAGAGTTATATGTATGTAGTATTTTGGAATATGCTTGAGTAGAAGTAAATGTGCATAAAAAGAATTTAAGTATTTGACATTAAGTATTTGGAACCATTTTTAATGTTTGTGTTAGAAATTGGCAGGTGAGGTTTATAATAGATAATTTAGAGGGAAAAGTTTTTGGATATTTCATTTATTTTATACGTGCAAATGTTCATCCTTGGAAAGGGTATATGCTTTTTCGCGATCAGGTAATTTCATATATGTCCTTTTTACCGAATTTAAAGATTCATAAAATTTTCATGCATTTTCGTGAAATTTTTCTAATTTATGAGAAAAAAAGCAGTGTACAAGGATATAGTGAAGAGTGTGCGCAATGCCATTTTTGTGCAATTCTGGGATGTTTTTTTAAGTAAAAATAAGTCGATGTGTATATGGTTTAATTATATTTTAATTAAATTGTAGTTATTTTGTGAATTATATGTTTGTAGCAATATGGTATACGTTTGAGTCTATGTAAACGTGCATGGAAATAATTTAAATATTTGACAGTAAGTATTTGTAACCATTTTTAATGTTTTGTTATGAATTTGTTGGTGACGTTTATAATAGATAATTTAGAGGTAAAAGTTTTTGGATATTTTATTTATATTATACGTGGAAATGTTCATCCTTGGATAGGGTATATACTTTTTCGCGATCAGGTAATTTCATATATGTGCTTTTTACCGAGTTTAAAGATTCACAAAATTTTCCTGCATTTTCGTGCAAATTTTTGTAATTTATGAGAAAATAGCAGTTTAGATGGATAAAGTCAAGAGTGTGCGCAATGCCATTTTTGTGCAATTCTGGGATGTTTTTTTTAAGTAAAAATAAGTCGACGTGTACATGGTTACTGTGTATGTGCGATTTTGAAAAACGCGGCAAGGAGTTTGCGATTCTGCACTTTTCTCCCAATTTTGCAGTTAATATTCGTCATGATTAAGCACTTTTGATCCATAAAAATTTCTAGCATAAGGTGTAATTTGGCTAGCAGATTGTTGGAAAATAGTGTTCAGGAAGTAAAAAGAAAAGAAACCTGTCTTTTACTTCGTGAAAGACAAAATGGCCGCAAAAAAAAAAAAAAAAAAAGAAAAGAAAAAAGAAGAAGTAGAAGGTTGATGTAGCAGAGTTGGTCGCCAAATTTTCGCCAAGTTACCATAATCCAAAAATCAACTGAAATCATTTGATTATAAACAATAATTGCAATATTTCATTTAGAAACTATACTTCTTTACTTAAAAAACTTATTTCAATATTTAAGGAAAAAAATCCATTCAAAATAAGTATATACCTAATCAGGAGTCAGAAGCTAACATACACTTCTGGCAAACACAGGAAGAATGAATTTTACACGAAAAATTATCACATATTTTGCAAGAAATTATAGTTTTATTGTCTTTGGATCTTGGACACATAGCACGTCGGACTTTGTCGAATTTTGGTTTCTTTGATGGGTGTTCTTCTGATACACTAGAAGTCGCATTATCGATGCTTTCACGAACCACTTTAGGAAACATTGACATATTTTTTTGTAATCTCTATGTAAGGCGCTGTCTAAGAGATATAGCCAAATTTTTTAGGAATTTTCTACTATTTCCATATTGTAAGGGAGAGGTCTTTGTTGGGAATAAAGTAACTCGGGTATTTATTGCAGTGATGTTCAACACAGTAAAAGACGACCATCGGCCATCTGTTGGTTTTTCGAGATGTCGAATATAATGATAACATTTCATCAACTTTATCTACACCACCTTTTGTTGCATTATGAAAGTAAATTATTTCTGGTTTCTTCGTATCATCACTTTTATCAATGGCATCATTGCAAATGCATTGTAGATAACAAAACTACACATTTTGATTTTTTAGGCACATACGATACTATTGTCGCATTCTTTTAGAACCCAAATATAGATAAATAACCGTTCCTAGTTTTTCTTTGGATGAACTTGGTGGGAATTTCAGCCTTGTTTCTGTTCAGGGTTCCTACAATAGTTAACTTCTTTGACAAAAGTTCTTTTGCTAGAGGATAACTTGTATACCAATTATCCATTGTTACATTTCTGCCCAAACAAAGGGGTGCACAGGCGTTTTGTAATTTCAAATGGTGAATTTTTAAATCTAAAGGGACCTTCCGACTGTTGTCCTTGTGTATATCTCCATGTTATAGCTGCAGAAAGTTCTTGAAATCTACTAAGGCAAATATTTTGATTCCATACTTCGATGGTTTGCTGGGTATATATTGACAAAAGGAACACCGCCCTCTGAAATTTCTCTAATTTTTCTTTGATAGTAAATATTTACCAATGAGGTATATCTTTTGGCAATTTTCATTGAAATCGGTAAAAAATTCTCTCACAGCCGCCAGTTTGTCCAATTTTTTTCCGAGCTTCACGATTTGTCACATTGTCTAACCATAGACACCTGAGAAGAAAATTAAATCTTTTATATGACATGTGTTCCGTAAAATTGCAATGCCTGTTTCCAATTTTCAGTAGCTCACAAATCTTGCATATTTTTATGTGACGATTTATGCAAGCCGTACAGACGTAAAAGCCCAAAAAGTGCTCTAATTTTCACATCATTTGTCGTAATATTGGCATCCTGATCTCTGGTCGTAATTCGGACACCCATAATCCGGACCTCAAAGCTCGCATGCGTCAACGCATAATGCGTTCACGCATGCACATGCGTGCGCATTGACGCATGCGCGGTAATATCCTTTACCGCTGCTAATTTGCAGTGTGCGTGTGCGCAAAATACGTTTACGAATACTGCGCATTTAATGTATAACGGACGGTATAAGCTAAGCTAAAATTATCTAATTATTTATTTTCAGTTAATGTTGCAGATTGCGTTGTTCCTTAATCTTCGAATTGGATCCGGATTATTATTTTTTGCAGACTGTTAGAGCAATTTTATAAAAGTAAGCTTGAACTTTCGATTATGCCAAATAGAATTTCCGATATATATTTACTAATATGTAAAGGATATACAAAGCGAAAGTATCTTTCGGAGTCCATTAAACAAAAAGTGGAATTGCTGCAAAAAATGGATGAAGTTTACCTAAACTTTAACGTTTGTTTATCTTTAACGCGGCGGCGGCGTGCATTGAATTGGAAGTTGATCTGTCAGCACTATCCTTATCTTAAGAGCAGATGTTTTTATTTTATTTGGCTTATAATTGCTTACTCAATGTAGTATTTCATCTCGTCTTTAATATGATTTAAATCAAATGCCTCGTCTTTATAATTCGCTTCCGATAGCGAAAAAAGTAACAGAGGTTATTGAAAACGAAAAAATTTCGATTGACAAATTAGTCGGTATTCTCGACACAGCAATTATAGGACTTGAACAGCGGAACTTTGTAACTGAACAAGAAATTATGTCTGTTTATAGAATTAAAGAGAATGTATTATAACATAAAAAACGAAGCAACTTAAACAACTTACATTGAAAGAAATGTTTAATAAAGTAAACAAATAAATATTAAGCTTTTTTTTTTTTGTAAATTTTGATACCCTTTAGATTATAATTGTTCTTTATTTCGTAAATTACGCTTTCATATTTTTAATTTTATAATTTCTGCATGCCATTTTACCAGATTTAAACTGATGATCTATAATCTGGAAAAATCGATAATCTGGAATCGCCGAAGTCCCGACGAGTCTGGATTAACGACTATTGACTGTATAAATATTTGTACACTCTACAATGGATTGTATCATTTTAGCATCGAAAAACAATTCTCAACTTTCTAGAAGCTCCTTTATATTGCGTGCAGTTTCTTTTAATCCTGCTAACCGAGTTATTATAATTTGAGACCTTTTTTCTCTTTTTTATTTGGTTTTCCATTCAGCCAAACTCTTATTTTTGCTAATAAAAATACCTATTTACTAAATCATCATTTCTGTCGATCTTCATCATTCTGCTCAAATTCTCTTTCGCTGTTGTGAGAACTGTATATTTCTTTATCAGATTCATTTTTACTATCTTGATCAATTTCTCCTTCAGAAGACTCAACTTCATCTAATACAGTTCTCAAGCATTCCATCTCTTTTTCATGTTCGGTAAATTTACATTTGTAAACCATTATCTATCAAATAATCTAACAGAACCACAATGGCAACACTTGAGAGCACGCAGCTAAACTTCTACTAATGAAAAATTTCGAAGCAGTAACGGTCGCACGGGGTTACTCAGTCACCCCATTCCCTCATAGATTCCAAGAAACGATTGCTTCTCTCGCAGAAAAGGAAAACAAGCAAAAATAACAATACACATTCCAAGGGGAGTGTCAAACAGGAGGATACTAAAAGGATGATTCATTAAAATGAAATATTTCCGGTTAGGATTGTTGATTTTTGACGCATGGGTGACTCTGTGTTCCGCGCGACTTCTCCCGGGTTAAAACATTATTTTTTAAAAAATTGCAGAAATTTTTCAATGTTTCAACTCTAACAGTATAATATTTAAAGCAGAGGTTCTCAACTTTTTGACTAACGCGTTACATCTAAACAAAGATTGAAAACCTTTAGTACTACTACCAGTCTTGAAAAAAGCTCAGATCGCATAAATTTACGAGTTTTAGACAAAATCTGAATCAGAATATTGGAGTTTTAATTTTTTTGCTTCTTTGCATACCACCTATTTTCCTCCTGTGTACCACCGGTTGAGAACCCCTGATTTAAAGTATATGTCAGAAATAATCATTTCTATATCAGCTGGCAAAGCATTAGCTGATATTCTTACAGTGGTATGGATAATATGCACTGCACATCCAACTTTAATTAATCCGATTCAGGTTTTATTTAAGTTTAAGAAAAACATTATTTTATTATTAATTATTTTCTTAACTTGAATAAAAACAAAAATACAAAATACCTTTTTAGAAGAAAATGACTGTTTTGTGAAAAATTTTGGAGCAGGCAGAGGGGATTTAGTGACCGACGAAACATCAGAGACTTCATCTCTGATGCTCAAGACTCTACTTCTCAAATCCAGAGTTAATCGAAGGTACACACCATTTGAGAAAAATCAATGGAAAATATTCTAGAAAACTCAAGATCTGTAACAAATAAAAAAATTCTGAAATAATCCCTGAATAAACAAATAAAAAAATCACAATCAATGACAAATATTATTATAAATACTTTAAGACAAACTCTAATAATGTAAAAAAATAACTTTCGAGCAACTAACATTAAATTAGAACTTAGAAACACTTTTAAGAAAAAGAAAGATAACTGCATAAATATGGACTGACACTCACAAAGTGCATGTGACAGATGCTTATAATTTTAAATCTTTCAAATGCTATATTAATTTTAGTAACAAAATAGCGAATACATTGAGACTTCACATTATATTACAACTTACTCCCTCGATGTCTAAAACTGCGCGCGAAATTATAAACAATGTAAAATATTACAATTGCCATCACTAAATCTATAAAATGTGAAAACAAAATTATACAGAAAAGTAACAGCACTTTGGATTCTGTACGAATAAAACCTAAGATCTAATTAAGAAAACTTAAATTGGTTAAACTTTCGTATTCGAGAGCAATAAAAAAATTGCAACTACAGAGAACAGGAATAAAGTAATGGTATTAAATGTCTGCAAAACGTCTCCGTTGTCATTCCTTGCCTTCCGATGAACCTATTGCTGATTATTAGTCAACACCTCAGCAGGGATAAAGACAGAAAAGGAAATGCAAAACGGACACCGTAGCTTTTATTTCCTTTATTAGTATCTGTGTTTACTCTTGAAAAGTTCAATTTTGAAGTTACTTTGATGTCTGTTTGATCACATTTCTGATTCTACTTAGTTAAATTGGTTCCTATTCAATGAAAATGGTAATAATAAGCTTGCGTAATTTTTAAAAATTTACTCTTATAGGTGTTTTGACTTAAAATTTCCTCAACTTATATTAATCTGTTTAAGAAACGTATATCTAATCAGTCAGTTCTGTTATGGAATCTCTAGTGTAGAATTGGGTGCCCCTTCGATTAACGACAATTTTTTGAAAAATTTTGGCGATGAAATCTCATTTCTGGTTACCGTGATAGTTTAACTTTGCTTTAGCCTCCTGATTTTTTTAAAAATAAAAGTAGATTGATGTGTACATGGTCAAATTTAAAGCAGTGCGCAATGCCTAGTTTATGCAATTCTGGGATATTTTTCAAGTGAAAACAGATCGATGTGTACATGGACACAGAGTTTATGCAATTCTTTGACTTCTTATTTTGGTTTTGTGTAGCGGCCATCTTGAAATTGTGTCTTCTTGGCGTCAGAAAAGAATCGCCAAAAAGCAAGGGGCACCCAATTGTAAACTTTTAGGGATTTTATTCCAGTTTCAGTTACTAAAGGTAAACTCTTGCCTTGTTTGTGTAATATAATCTTAAATTTTGACCATATGATTTTAACCAAATTATAATTTGGGGCAAAAATCCGAAAAAAGCCAAATTTATGATCTTGAGTGCAGAATGCTGAAAAAGAAAGTTATGTTATCTAGTTTCTTGACTCGAAGAAATTGCTCGTTTCCTTGTCATATATGTAGAGGCAGTATGAGGCCTTGTTTCGATAAACGATCCATAAAAACATTATAGTTTGTGTCTTAAAAAAATTAAATAATGATGAATAATTGAACTTTTGGGTTTTCTTCCGAAAAGGATCCGTTGGTGCTTCTGCAGCGGATCGTTGGCACCGGTGCTTATTTATTCGCCAAACTCACCAACGGCTAATCGGCCATGATTTTAGCGGTGTATAATAAAGTTGCAAGATATTTATTATATGGAAGCCATTTTAGCAGTCATTTATTGTTTATTTGGCTAAACTTTAGAATATGGTAACAGGTAGTTTGGCAACATTTTGGTAAGGTGATAAAGGTTACTAGGTAGGACTTTAGCAATAATCTAGAAGTACACGTTCGATCACAGATTATTTGTTCGGGAAATGAGAGATCATGAGACATGTAATGTGACATTTCCGAAAATTCCAATCATGTTAGCTATAAGGACTAAAAACAATTTTCGGCTGATCTTTGGAATATGATAACAGATAGTTTGGCGACATTTTGGAGGCGATAAAGGTTACTACCTAGAACTGGGAATAATGTGAGAAGTACTCAGTTCCAATTATGCATTATTTTGTGAGGGAAATGAGAGATCATGAGATATGTCATGTGAAATTAATGGACGAATCACTGTTCTTTAATCGGAAAAGGGGGGAATTAAAAAATCCCTGTGGCTTATATTATTTTGTATTAGCTCTTGTGTTTGTGTGAAGTAGGGTTGAATATTTGGGATTGTATGGCGCTGTCTAAAGTGAATTCTAGTTTTTAATGCGTTTGTAATAATTCAAAAGAATTGGTTGAATGGTGCATGAGTGTAGTTTAATTGCGGATAGTACAATGTCCAAATGTGGGAATGAAATGATATTATTGAAAGGAGGATTTACTGATATTTGAATGGTGGTTCAAAGAATCTGGTGAAAATGGACATTTTGTGAACGGAGGTAAGAATGTACGGTTTGCTAAAGTCGTTTGAGTAGGGTGATATTTTATTGATTTCTTATTATTGGGTGAATCGATTGCCAGTGACTATTTGTGAATTTATGTTTGTGCAAATGGTATACGTTTAGTGGATGTAAAGTGCATGGGAACATTTAATATTTGAAGTAATATTGTAACCATTTTAAGTTTTGTTATGAATTTGTTGGTGACGTTTATATAGATAATTATAGTAAAGGTTTGGATATTTATTATTTTATATGTGGAAATGTTCATTTGGAAAGGTATATACTTTTCGCGATCAGGTAATTCAACATGTTTTTTTACGGGTTTAAATATCAGAAAATGTCAGGTATTCCCGTGAAATTTTTCAATTTGAGAAAAAACAGGTACAATGATAGGAAGAGTGTGCGCATCCATTTGGTGTATCTGGATGTTTTCTTAAGTAAAAAAAGTCGACGTGTACATGTTTTATGTGTAGGTTATTTTGAAAAACGCGTAAGGAGATGGTAGTGACTTTTCCAATTTTCAGTGAATATTTGTCATGATTACCTTTGTTAGATAAATTCTAGCATAAGTGTATTCGGCTATCTATTGTTGAAAAGTGTCAGTAGATAAAAAGAAAAGAAACATTCTTACTTCGTGAGACAAATGGCGGCGGGAAAAAAAATAGGGGTTGCTGTAGAAGTGTCGCCAAAAAAATCCCCAAGTTACCTTAATTAAAGACCAACCAAATTTCGCCTCTAAAGTGCAGAATTGCCCATTAATTTGTCTGGCACTTTTTACAAGAGTAAGAAGGATTTTTGGATTAATTGGAATTTTGTCAATTTTCTTTAACTTTTCAAGTGAAAATAGGTCGATGTGTACGTAGATAAAGTGAAGCGTGTACGCAATTCCATTTTTGTGCAATTATGGGATGTTTTTTTTTAAGTGAAAATAGGTCGACGTGTACATGGGTACCGTGTATATGCAATTCTTTAAAACGCGGCAAGCTGTGGGCGATTCTACACTTTCTCCCAATTTCGCACCTAATCTTCGTCATGCTTAAGCACTTTTCTTCCATAAAAGTTCTAGTATAAGAGTAATTCGGCTAGCAGCTTGTGGAAAAATGTTAATAAAAAAAAAACAGAACAAATTTTTTGGAATATGGTACAGGTATTTGGCGACATTTTGGTCAGGCGATAAGTATACTAGTACTTAGCAGGTACATGGATAAGTCAGAGTGTGCGCAATGCCATTTTTGTGCATTTGGGAGCTTTTTAAGTGAAAATAGTCGACTTCTTGTATACGTGTATGTGCAATCTAAAAATGCGCACAGTGTGCATTCGCACTTTCTCCCATTTCGCACCTAAATTCGTCATGATTAAGCACTTTTGTTCCATGAAGTTCTAGCTAAGCCGCAATTCGGTCGCCGCTTGTTGGAAAAAAGTGCGAACACATGCCTTTACTAGTGAAACAAAATGGCATCCAAAAAAAAAAAAAAACTAGCAGGTTGCTGTAGCAGGGTTGGTCGTCAAATTTTCGCCAAAAAATCACCAAAAAGTTACCATAATCCGAAGATTAACCAAAATATGCCTTTACTTCGTGAAAAACAAAATGACGTCCCCCCCCCAAAAAAAACTAGCGGGTTGGTCGCCAAAAAATCACCAAGTTACCATAATCCGAAGATTCACCTATTTGGCTGATCATTTTAGAGGTGTACAAGATAAGCTATAAGATTAGATAAGTTATAAGATATTTAATATATAGAAGTAAAATAAATAGGCCGATAATGACATTTAGTGGTGTATAGTTAACCTGGGAGAACGCATGCTGTATTATTTAACAGGAGAACGCAGGTCACAATTAAATGACATACAAGTGAAACATATTACAATTCAGTAAAATAATGCATTATGTATTAATTGCAACATTTATTATGTAAAATAGCTTAAAATAATAATTTAAAAAATAACAAAAATATACTTTTCGATATGACTAGGAATCATTGATTTCTATGAGAAATTTGTGTTTTTTTATTTTTGAATGCAATTATAATTAAATCCTGCAGAATTATTCATGGACAATGAGTTATATTTAATTTTCAAATCATTAGGCTCAAGAAAATTAGATATTTGTAGTTTTACGTAACGCTTCTATTTCACAGTTTCTTGACATATTTTTTTTGCACTTCACAATAGTTTTTTGACTTTCTTTTTTTTTCTTTAGCACAGTCCCATCTCCGGTAACATAATTTTCTTCTTTGTTGCGAATCTTCAAGAGAATCTTTGTTGTATTCCTACTGTTTCTGTTGTGATTTCAAATGAGGATCTAAAAGTGCAAAGTCCAAATCAGAAATGCCTCCTATTCCTGAACTTCTCTGGTGGAGTTTTAGTAGATCAAAGCAAGATCCTTGAATTTATGCCGAATCGAATTGAATTTATGTCGAAGCGAAAAAGATATGCCCAATCGGTTTGATATTCTGGCCACAGAATAAGTGCCATCCGTTTCGTCGACTGTATCAACTGCTCCTTTTGTCACGTTATAAAACGTAATTACTTCAGATTTCTTCAAATATCCTGTGGTTTCATCAATATGGTCATCATTGTGCATAGTTGACAAAAAGTTAACACATTTGTTCTTTTCAGCCATGTAAGAAAGTAGCATTATATCCTTTTGAAACCCCAAGAGAGTTGAATGCTGTTCTCTATTCTTATACGACACAAGTTCAGGTGGAATAATGTATATTGTTCCAACGATAGAAATTTTATTTTTCTGTAAGAAATTGGCAATCAAACTGGTTACCAATGTCTGTGTCAAAACATGAAATTGAAAAACGTTCCAGAATTTATATGCTAGGATGTGCTTTGCTTTACAAAAAACTGTTGACTTTCTTGGTCATCTAGTGCTGCCTGAGTAAATTTCAAGTTTAAAAGTATAGAACGTTCTAAAATCAACCACAGTAAATATCGTTACTCCATATCTTGCAGGTTTCTTAGGCATATACTGTCAAAAGGAGCATCGTCCTCAAAAAGGTTCTAGCTTTTCGTCCAAAGTCACGTATTCCCCTACATGATATAATTTCTGACAATTCTCGACAAAATTTTCAAACAAATCTCTTATTGGAGCTAATTTATCACTCTTTCTTCTGTCATCCCGTGTTCCGACATTATCAAATCGTAAGGCATGAGATGAAAGAAACTAGGTTCATTTGTTTATGAAAAATATCCAATCTTGTTCCATCAGTCGCCCATAATTTCTAACATTTACAGGGAGGATTTGTGCATCCAGATTATAACGTCCTAAAAAAGCAAGAAACTTCTTTCTCCATAGGTTTTAATCTCTTTAAAATTTCCTGAAATATTCTTTAATAAATATTAGAGCATCTCACAATCATTTCAATCATTGTGTCATCATGTAGCTTCCATGCATCGAGGGTGAGCACATCTTTAGATATGTGTTATTGCCAGGCAATTTTTATTATTTATGGAATCTTTTGAATTCGAAAGGGGTTCTTTCTTCCTTTTGTTGTTTTATCTTTTCCTACAAAATAGTCAGTTTGATCAAGGAATGTCTTCTGTAGAGTCGCAACTTTTTCTAATTCAGACTGATGATCACTAATATATTGTAAAGTATTTTGCAATAATCAAAATAACAGATGATCTTAAATGAACATAAATTTTATTTTTAGTTCCGGAGAATTAATTTGAAAATTCTTCGTGAAAAATTTTCATTTAACTAGTGGTAAAACTTCAGAATTCTCATTTTAAACATTTCTTACATCATACAAATATGATTGACACTTCAATAATAATCTATATTTATTTGTTAAATAACAAAATATTACAATATCTTCATTATCTGAATCTTGTAAGGAAGTCCATCTCTGAAAAGATGTTTGGAAACTTATAAGAAATGATGTTCCGCAAATTTACCTTAAAATGGACTTAATTCAATGCTGTATACATTAGTGCAATTTAAAATATCCAAAGTGAGAATGGAAAAAGCAATATTCTCATTTCCATTATGAAATAACCAATGCTGTTGACAATTAATATGTACCCTAGGATAATTCTAGTTTCCAGGATATATTGAAATTATTTCTCCTTATAACAGATGTGGGAAAAACCAGCAGTTCCAGTATTCTAGACTTTGCATTAGGCCTGATGAAATTAAGCATGACAAGATCATTTTCTTCTGAATGATGCAGCCATATGTATGAAAAAGGCAGATGAAACACTTCTCAAAATGTTGTATATGAAATGAGTCGTAAATGCATTGTGGGAAAAGTTCATGAATTGTTACCAGACATTGACAAACCTATTTTTATTCTAAGAAAGATATTTTTAAATCTCTTTTATAGTGAGAGTCTTTGGAGAGACTGCAGGTGATATATTAGTTTTGACAAAGTGGGTAACATGGTCAGGTGAGATTGTTATTATGCCAAACAGTAATAACTTTAGGGGGCGTGACAGTGTGATGGTCCAAGACACTGAATACTGAAGATTCAAACTTGGGTCAAACTACCAGTATTCAGCAATTGTATTGCTCAACTGCTTGTGAACTTGAACAAAAGTATGAATATCTTGTTAGTAAAACCCATGATGTAAGAAAATTGGGAAAATTTATAAAGTTTTCAAGATTAAAACATGGCCGATTTTGTTATGAATCCCATGATTCTGACATGTTTTAAATATACTCCTGCCACACGGATAGAGGTGGAATGATCATTGTCCTGCTTACAACAGATACACATGTCAATGTAGAATCTGAAGGAAAGTTTAGGTTTCGAATATGGCAAAGAACTGGCTATGACCTGAAGAAAGATGCCTTTTTGAACAACTTTCTAAGGGAAACTGGCTTGTATTTGCATTACATGAGGAAAACTAGAAAAATCAACCATGCAGCCAGCCCTTTAACCATGATATGAAACCAGATCAACACCCAGTATTCAATATCAGTTGTAGGAAAAATCTGAAGAAAATGCTTGCAATATCATGTAATCAAATTAACTATGATTGCATAGCAGGATTACTTTTTTCAAGTGTCGAGGTAGAGAATACACTTTTTTTTTTGTTTTTTTTTCTTTATATAGGTATTTGGCCATGGTATTCATTACATATATTCTCTGTCATTCACAGAATACTAATGTTTTAGTAAAAGTTTCTTTTTCATTATGCTTGCTTGTCTTCTTAAAATTAGTTTAAAATTTGTACTACATATATAGATTACTGAATTCATTCAAATAAACATAAAACATTTTCCACATCAATTTTTCAAAGTTGTTTTTTAATTACTTGCTGTAGCCTAAATATTTTTACAGTCAAAAGTCGTTAATTCGGACACCCATAATCCGGAATGATCTATACTCCGTAACCTCAAGCTAAAAACTTTCTGCGCATGCGCCGCGTTGGCACCTGAGCATAGGCGTTTACGCGTGCGCGTAAGACCTTGACACTGCGCATTTGCGTGTGCGCAAGTGCAGAATACGTTTTTGCGCGCGTTTATGTTATAACGGACGGTTTATAAGCTAAAATTATCTAATTATCTATTTCAGTTAATGTTGATGATTGCGTTGTTTCCTTAATCTTCGAATTGGATCCGGCTTATTATTTTTTGCAGACTGTAAGAGCAATTTTATAAAAGTAAACTTGAACTTTCGATTATGTCAAATAGAATTTCCGATGCTGGAACTTCCCAAAGGATCTACAAAACGAAAGTATGTTTCGATGTCCATCAAACAAAAAGTGGAATTGCTGCAAAAAATGGAATAAAGACATGAAGAATGTGACAGAGAGGTTATGAAAACGAAAAAAATTTCGATTGACAAGTTAGTCGGTATTCTCGGCACAGCAATTAACGGGACTTGAACAGCGGAAACTTTGTAAACTGAACACGAAATTATGTCTGTTTATAGAATTAAAGAGAAAGTATTATCACATAAACGAAGCAACTTAAACAACTTACATTGAAAAAAATGTTTTAATAAAGTAAACAAATAAATATTAAGCTTTTTTTTTTGTAATTTTGATACCCTTTAGATCATAATTGTTCTTTATTTCATAAATTACGGTTTCATATTTTTAATTTTAGAATTTCCGCATGCCATCTTACGAGATTTAAACTGATGATTATAATAAAAAATCGATAATCCGGAATCGCCGAGTCCGGATTACGACTTTTG